GCGGCAGCTGTCTCCACATCCGCGTCTACCTTCAGACTGCAGCGTCTTCTAAGTTCCTTGTGAAATGAAAGCGCTTTCCAGGACCTTGCTGCTTTTCCGTGGTGTCATTCCTCTATCTGAAGAAGTTCGGCTTCTAGGTTTTGCTGATGAACCGTTAGGGACTGGATGTGCCCCTTTCATGATGCTGTTGTGACAGCCGACAGGACACAGGGCACCACGCTCTCACTATGCATTTCACTGATGAGGCCGTGCTTTCTCTGCAAGTGAGCAGTGGCTGGCGCTTTGTGGAAAAGCCACCGTCACCACCACCTGGGTCTTTAGCCAGGCTGACGCTCAGGTCAGGTTCCCCTTTCTGCATGCGCCACTGTCTCTGTCTACTTCCTTCGTCTAAAACGGCTTCTGAGCGACTCAGCATGGAAGTAAGCAAGGCATGCAAAGGAATTAAGATGGGGAATTTTGACAGGCCTTTGCAGATTCATTGTGCTCTCTCTTTTCTGTCCATATTCACTTAAATATTCTTTGCCCTTCATCAGTGAGATCTCGCTACGTGCCTACTGATAGTCTTGCTAACCTCTCACAACTCTGAGTCTGGGCTGGAGGCGTTTGCTTGGTCCCAGAGCATCCTGCTGTGCCTCATGTAGGCCAGCAGTGACTTAACTGGTGGCGTGGAGGGCTTTGCAGTGAAAATACCCAAGGATGCTGCGACGTGCTCTGGACGCCTGAGTCCCCCCAGCCTGTGGTTTCAGGCGACATGACTGTAGGGATTGTAGCTCACGGACCCGGTGTGCTGGCTGGGCATTTGTGTGCAGGGACTGGTGTGGGAGATGGGGCATAGGGGGTGTTTTTGACATTTTGGAAGATTAAGCTCTCAGTTCCTTTAGAATGAATATCAGAACTTGCAGGCAGAAAAAGCCACCAACATTTTCAGCCACCTGAAGTTCACTTTCATTCTTGAAAGATACATTTAATACAGAAATCTATGCTGGAAGTTACTTCATGTTTACCCAGCACTTTCTCCCCTCAGTGTACTTTGGGAATGAGTCTAATCTCAGTCTAGCTGCTTTCTCTGAATTTCTTTTCTGACTCCTTTGCATTTTTGTCTTTGTTTCACTGATATGTCTAAGTATGGATGTTTACTTTTTCTTGCTTGGATTGTTCCTTTACTCTATAAATCGATAACTTATCAATATAGGAAAATTCCCAGTTGTCATCTCTTAAGGTTTCCTATGCTCCATTCTTTGTCTTTAGAACCTCAAACACGCATCACTCTAATGCTAAATCCACACGTTTCACCCTCTTTCATACACTCTTGTTGTTGTCTGTGCCACTTGAATTTCTACAGATCTATCTTCTACTTCATTATTTCTGTGTCCACCTGCCACTATAGCTGTCTACATTATTTTAGTTTCTATATTTTCATTTCCAGAAGTACTGATATGGCTTTATAGCTCCCTGTGATAGTCTCAGGTTGATCTTTTATTGCTTTGAAAACAGTAAGTATACTTATTTTTAGTGTTTGATAGTGTCAACATATGAAAACTGTATAGAACTTTTTCTTATTTTATACTGGAGGTAAAAAAAAAATGCTGACGTCTCCTCCAACTGTAGGAGGGAGACACCTTCCAGAGAGATCTAACTCAGGCACCTAGAAGCAGTATCACATGGTTAACACCTGGAACACCCAACCCAGGCACATCTGGCTAGGTTCTAAATTTGCTATTTCTTTTTTCTTCTTCTTCTTCTTCTTTTATTTTTTTTGACAGGCAGAGTGGACAGTGAGAGAGAGAGACAGAGAGAAAGGTCTTCCTTTGCCGTTGGTTCACCCTCCAATGGCTGCCACAGCAGCCACGCTGCGGCCGGCGCACCGCGCTGATCCAAAGGCAGGAGCCAGGTGCTTCTCCTGGTCTCCCATGGGGTGCAGGGCCCAAGCACTTGGGCCATCCTCCACTGCCTTCCCTGGCCACAGCAGAGAGCTGGCCTGGAAGAGGGGCAACCAGGACAGAATCCAGTGCCCCAACCAGGACTAGAACCCAGTGTGCTGGCGCCGCAAGGCAGAGGATTAGCCTATTGAGCCGTGGCGCCAGCCTAAATTTGCTATTTCTTATGCCCAGTCCCATTCAAGTCTCACTAAATAGAAAATGGTGCAATCCATCCATTTTGACTTAACACTCATATCCTCCAAACACAAATCCAGCAGCCAACTCTATTATCTTTGCAACTTTTCTGTGAGTCTAAGGCTATTCTAAAATTATTCCTAAATCCCAGGAGTCCTCCATCCCAATCAGTATTGTACCCTGCCCACTCCCCTTCTATTCTATACCCTGTCTTCATGATCAGTTCTTCTAGGCACCTCACATTTTCATGCACTAAATATTAAAACCTTTCTGGTTCTGAAAAACTTTCCTAGGGAGCAAATGATACATAAGTAACAATAATTGTAAATCCTGGAAAGACGTCAAATATTAGAAATAAGCAATAATTCAGATTTTGCAATCTATACTCTCCTCAATCACTTTGGCTCAACCTCAATGACAATCACATAATTTGTTTTCCTAGCTATTTCTACCTAATCACTGAATTTTCTACATGTTCATCTTTTCTTTTTTTTAAAGATTTGTTTATTTATTCATTCAAAAGTCACAGTTACACTGAGAGGAGAGGCAGAGAGAGAGAGAGAGAGAGGTCTTCCATCCACTGGCTCACTCCTCAATTGGCCACAATGGCTGGAACTGTGTCGATCCGAATCCAGGAGCCAGGAGCTTCCTCTGGGTCTCCCACGCGGGTTCGGGGGCCAAAGGACTTGGGCCATCCTCTACTGCTTTCCCAGGCCATAGCAGAGAGCTGGATCGGAAGTGGACCAGCCAGGACTCAAACCAGCGCCCATATGGGATGCCAGCGCTTCAGCCAGGGCGTTAACCCACTGCGCCACAGTGCCGGCACCATCCATCTTAATTTTCTCCTACAGCTTTTATTTTCCACCTACAGCCTTGACTTTGTCACTGCCTCTTCTGTTGCTCCTAATTGAATCAATAAATCATCCTTACTGAATGAGTCACCCATGTCAACAAGCTCTCACTTCCAATTACTGCAACTTCAATAGGGTCAAGTACATCTTTTCATCTTGTCTTCAATCTTCTTCCAGCTGGCCTCTCACCTTGAATACCTTTCTACTCGACCTATTCTTGCTCACCATGTCTACATTAGTTTACACAGCAACAAGGAATAGAATTCTATTTGGCCTCGGCCAAAGGTGCCTAAGAAACAGCATGTTTACTTTTAATATTCTACTGGTTAATGTAGGCAAAAGTGTAATATTGAAGTTAAAGCTTTGGAGGAAGGTGTTGCGGTGCCGTGGTTTAAACTGCTATATGGGACACTGAATCCTTTATCAGAGTACCTGGAATTGAGTCTCTGTTCTTCAGCTTCTGATCTGGCTTCCTGCTAATGTGCACATTGGGAAGTAGCAGGTGATGGCAAGAGCACTTCAGTCCCTGCTTCGTTTGGGGGAGACCTGGGTGGAGTCCCTGGGCTCTTGGCTTCAGCCTGGCACAGCCCTGGTGTTGCAGGCTTTTGGGAGAGTAAACCAGTGGATGGAAGATCTCTGTCTCTCTGCCTTTCAAATAAGTAAAAATAAATACACATTTAAAAAAGTTAAAATTGGGTTTCATTTGCTTTAGTTACCATTAAGATTGTAGGTAATAATTAATAGTGTATTTATGAGGTTTGCAGTAAATAACATAGAATCAGTTGGCATCCGAACTGCATGTGAGAATAACAAGCTGTTAGCTAATCATAGCTGAGTAGAGTGTTAACGTTGACCACCACGTCAGCTTTGTTGAGAACAAACCTGAGGGACTGAACACAACTGGTAGATTGTTTCTGAAACAAGCCACATGGATTCTTGATTTGGGTATGAGAACGCCTGAGAAAAATTTCATGAAAACCTTTCAAACATTGGGGAGAAAAACAATTATCACTGTTCAGACTTCTGAAGCAATTAAGGTTGTTTTCACTGAAGGAGCATATAATCTTTTATTTCAAAACAAATATTAAACATCTGGCACAATTAAAACTTTATTGCCAGCCTTATGACAACCTACTGAACAGGGGGAGAGTTTCATAGCTTTTTTTCTTTTAGTATTCATAGATACTAAAATTTAGGAATATCTTCTAAATTAAAAAGACCACCTAAAAAATCTTTGTTCATATATTTGATAAAATAACTTTCTTTCAAAGGGATCAGAAAACAGCAAATGAAGGAAAATGATTCTTGTTATCATGGGAATTCAGTTGAGTCAAATATTAGGTTGGGCCCTTCATTAACATTACTTAATTCTCACTAAAGCCCTTAGTAGAGAAACTGCAACTCAGAGACTGTTAACGAAACTTGCGTGATACAGGTTCACATGGGAAGCAAGCGGCAAAGACAAGAATCAGTCATAAACTGTCCACACTGGAACCTCTCTGTTCCGCTCTCTCCACAGCAGAGGCTTTCTTTTTTAGAGGAACCAATCACTACCGAAGTACCTATTTATTTCTCTTGTCTCATTTTCAGTTGCTTTCCCAGTATCAGTAAACTGTTTCTAATGAAAATAAGATTCTGAATTCATCACCACCATGCCTGCAAATGACAGGGCACATTATTCCAACAAGGCCTCACCTGGAAAAGTGCCACAATTTTAAGGAGTTTAAAATGGGTACATAACCTTTCAGTTTTGTGGGGGTCATGGTGGAATGGTTAAAGACATATCATCTAGCTGAGCCACAAACAGAAAAGAGGACTGTGGCCATGATGTGAGGTGATCACTTTGGAAATAAATCCTTTTTAAGTTAATTCATAAAGACAGAAACAATCTGTAGGTGACACCCTGCATTCCAACCCTGGTACTATGTTCCCCAGTATAGGTAAAAAACTATGTAACTTTCAAACTGGAACTATAACTTATGGCCTATTGCTTTAGAAAAATGATTATAAGACAAAACACAAAGGAAGACAAACATCATAAAATAACTTTTATACAGGGTTAGATCCGTTTACATATAAAAAACAGAAAAGACCTCATTACAGTTAGATTTCACATAAATTACACAGATTGACTTTAAAACTACTATTCAACTTCATTTATAGTCCCTTTTAAAAATTTCATTTTGAAGGCACAGTGCATGAAATAAACCAAAGACTGAAGCACTTGAGATGAATGGGATTTGGGCACCTCATATAATCAGTTATAGAGTGTTCTGGAGCTGGGGAGTATCATTCTGAAGAAATGGAAAGGTGGAAAGGTGATTTTCTATCTGAGCATAAAAATACCACTATGTCCAACCTCCAGAAATTCTGCAGCATGGCTGGCATAGAATATAGTCAATACACTCATGTTCTGCCATTTATAAAAGTCATAATCATACATATTTACATAATTTATATCAAATTGCCTCAAAATGGTAGCCTACATTCAAATTTAATAATGTATTCTGTAAAAACAAAATCAACCAGGACAATATTCTGAAAGTCAAGTGGAATCATGAATGAGTTATTGCTAAAAATAAGAGAAACGGGTGTTGGGAGAAATTTTTTTCATGAACTAGAAATCCAAGTTCAGTTGGCATTAATCAAGGACCCTAATTTGCTTTAATTAAAACAAATCAGAAAACCAAAGAGTTATCAAAAAGTTGCTAGATAGAAAATCACTGAACATCAACCACAGTGGGATTTTCAGCAATAACAATAAAGCAAAAACACAGGGAGAAATTTTGGGTGTTACTATTAGAACAATTCCACCAGAGATCCATAACACAGGGCATGTTTACAGCATTCATAGGCAAGCTTTTAATACAGCAGGGACAAAACCTGCACAAGTGCATTTCTGTCAACAAGAAGATAAAAATATTTAATGCTGAGAATAAATGGAAATAGAGGAGCAGGTCATGGTTACTGACTAACCTTGTGTTAGCTCAGAAACACAAGAAGCTCAGATATAAGCACTACCTTTTATTTATTTTTAAACTCATAATTAGTTTTAAAGTCAATATTCATTAATTCAGCAAATCCCATTCAGACGAAAGGTAACAAAGATTAACCAATCAATCACACTGGGCCAAAAATACAGTATGTTTTGCTTTCCTTCTGGAAGATGACAAAGTCCCAAATCAAATTCCTTTCCATGAGCACTGCAAGCATTCCTCAACTGGATGGGATTCCACTCACTACCCAAGTGTTCCACAAAAAACACCGAAATCAACGGGTCTTTCCTTCTGAAATTCCAAGGGCTCATCTTACTGCACTATACAATCAGCACAAGTACATTTACACAGGCAGACACTTTAAACGTTACCTACTCAATCATTTTGCTTTGATTAAGGAGCTGGGAAGAGAGAAGGCTTACAAACTCATCACCAAGACAAAAACAATGCCTTGTGAGTAAAGAAAGGCACAACTCAGATGTGGGCCAACTTCTCAACACTGTGATACTTACTTGCCTCCATGACTCCAAGGAAATGGAAAGTCTCTAGGAGAAACACTGAAGAAATGCATTCCCCACCCCATATGGCTTCAATGCCTTAAGCTGTTAATGTGGGCTAATACTAGATGAGAGCCTCAGGTAAAAAACAGAGCAGGGCTGAGAACATAGTTGTAGCAGTCGCTGATCTTGTACACTCGCATTCAGAGGTGACATGGGCTGAGAAGGCCTTATCTTCCAGCTAAATGCATTACTCAGGAGTTCATTAAAGAGTCAAGATTTACAGCAGAATTTGGTTTTCCTTTTGGGAAAAATGAGTAAAAGAACTATTTGTATGTTCATGTCTTAAATAATTTTACACACGCTTAAAAGGCATGGCCTCCAGCACTACGATGTACAGTTAGAGAGGCATGTTTAATTCAAGAAAGTAAATGTAGAAAGTGCCCTCTAGAGAAGATCAATGCTAATAAAGCAAAGGCTGTCACATCAACCTTCATTTCTAGTTGCAATGTTGCAAGCAGGCCCAGACACTCATAGGCCCTTTGTTGGTTTTCTGACTTTGCACTCTAAAAAATAAAGCTAAAAAAGAGCAATATGCTGTATCTTCAAAGAAATTGTAATGATTATCAGAAAAAATTAACTCATGTATATATATTTCATTAATTGCTAGCATCCCACAAGCTCTGTTCTGTTTATGTGGTGGGATGAGAGGGAGGTGGCAGAGTCTGAGTGGCTAATACCAGGATTAATAGCAGAATGGCTTAACCTTCAACCACCCAAATTTACCACAGATACTTATTAACAAATGTCAGGAGCTCATTATTCCTAATAGACAAAATATTTTATAAAGCTACTTTGGATGCATTCCTTTAAAAGCCTGGCTGAACGACCCAGGTGGGTGGCAAACTACTTCACAGGAAAGCTTTGGGATGAAGGATACATTTATGAATATAGAATACAATTTAGAAGATGAGAGTAAGCTTTTTGATCCCCTGATTTAGTACAAGTTCAGCAGCAACTTGGCCATTAAAACATTCAAAGGTATTAAACCATTAGATCATTGGTAGGACACACACTTACAAAAAGCATCATTTCCACTAAATAGCAGATAAGACAGACAATAAAATGCAAATCGTCTCACTCTGTGCCTGACTGGCAGCGGATGACACCGTCACACTACAGTGTTATATCACACAAGCAGCCATAGTTTACTTTTTTTTTAATGGAGGCAGCATATTTGAAAGCTTTCCACTAAAATTTTAACAAAGTTGGTTGGTCAAAAAAAAAGACTGTCATTTGAAACATTAGGACAAAGAACCCAATCGCTTGCAGAGGCCTGTATGAACAAGACTGGCCAAGTTATTTCAACCATAGTCTACTATTTCATGGTGTAGGCTCAGGCTGGAGTATGAAGTGTAGATATTTTTTGTTCCAAATAGGTCAAGAATGCACAAGTAGGTCTCTTCCATACTTCCTAATAATTTCAGTAGAATTCAGATCTCGTAGATGGTTGGGTCATCTGAAAACCTTAAGTGTACAACATAGAAAAAGTTCAATTTTAGGAAATGTTACAGAATTAGGCATTCCTAGAATAAACTAGTTCTTCACAGATAAAAGCAGCAGCACCTGTGGGTTTTTACCAAGTTAAAAGATAGGCAACATGAGTTTCAGCTTTTGCTAAGTCTCCCTCTCAGCTCCATTCAAGCGCACATTTAGATCTTTCACAACAGTCAGTAAGTTCTTGCTTAAAATGGGGGATATTTATAACTTTGCTAAACCTTACAAGAGAGGTAGTGAAATCCTGCTTAGAGCACAGCCCACCAGTTCTGATCTAGCCTGGGAACAGGTAGAAAGACAAATGCGGAAGCCCATTTATTCATTTCCTAACATTATATATGCTTAAAAATCAATTCAACCTCCATTAAACCTGAATAAGAGAAACTCCAGCTATTTAATAACTAGAGAGAAGTACTCCTCAGTAGGTTGAGAAAACATTGAGTTTTTAAAGCTTTATGTCAGAGTCTGACTGCTGTCCCTGCCTTAATGTTTCTGGATTCTTTTGGCCATTTAAAAATAAAGGAAAAAAAAGCTAAAGCCACTAGTAAATACCTGATGTGCAAAATACAACATCCACTAGTTGGCTTTATGCTGTTATTACATAAACTCCAAAAAGCTCATCTTAAATTAAAAAATAAAAACAAAGTGGCTGTCCCATCTCTGCTGCATAAATAGAAATCAGATTTCTTTTTTTTTTTTTTTTTTGAAGGGTTATGAGTACGTTAAGGAAGGGAAGTTCAAAACTGCCAGTGAAATTCACAGAGAATATAAATTTAGCAAGTTAACTTCCCAAAGCTCTTTGAAGAAGCAAGAGAGTCTTCTTAATGCAGTGTCTCCCAAGAGGAACTGTAATGTTGCTTGATACTTATGCTGGGAGAATGCGAAATGTGTTTTTCAATGTTTGCTAGAATATAATGTTTCCTCTTCAGTGTCCGTTTCATCCTGGAACTCATGGCTTAGAAGGGACTTCTTGGAGCCTGTTGACATCATGCGAATTTCATCTTCATACTCGTCATGGTGCTGCCTGAGCCGATGGAAGCCATCCTTGTGCCTGTTAGACTTGATTGAGCAGATGCACCAAATGATGCAAGCCGTCAGGATTAATGCCGACATGGTGGCTCCTGCCAAACAAAAACCGCCACATGGGGTATTACACTTCCAGTACCTATTTACAATGGCACTTTTCCTAACACACCCTTCATTTATTTTCTTTTTATTCCATGCACTTAAGAACAGCCTTTTATTATTACAGAAGCAGTACATGTGTGGTTGCAAAATTAGAAAATACAGATAAGTGAAAATAACAAAACCCCCACATCGTTATGTTTCTACTACCCAGAGACCATTTTTATTACCTTAGTGCCTATTTTTCCAGACCCATTTTTATGCATGTGTATGCACATGTACAATTTCCTTTTACCACAATGAAGGAACACTGGTTATTGTCCTGCAACCTGCTTTTTATCAATCAACAACTTCTACGTTTCCTTTCAGTAAATGTTCATTCATCCCAAATCCATAATTTATTTTGGATTTGTATACAGGTTACTAACATAAGAGTCTTATTAAAGTAACAAAAAAATTCATTCACAACTAATGGGTGGCAGAGCCAGATCTAAACCATTGACTGCATTCTACCCCCTGCATTTTTAACCACTAAGGTACTTGAATTTAATCTAGTTCAAACTTGATTGGACCGTGTTTCTAACATGCTCCTTTTTTTTTTTTCTTTCTTTCTTTCTTTTTTTTTTTTTTTTTTTTTTGACAGGCAGAGTGGACAGTGAGAGAGAGACAGAGAGAAAGGTCTTCCTTTGCCGTTGGTTCATCCTCCAATGGCCGCCGCGGCCAGCGCGCTGTGGCCGGCGCACCGCGCTGATCCGATGGCAGGAGCCAGGAGCCAGGTGCTTCTCCTGGTCTCCCATGGGGTGCAGGGCCCAAGCACCTGGGCCATCCTCCACTGCACTCCCTGGCCACAGCAGAGAGCTGGCCTGGAAGAGGGGCAACTGGGACAGAATCCAGCGCCCCAACCGGGACTAGAACCCGGTGTGCCGGCGCCGCTAGGCGGAGGATTAGCCTAGTGAGCCACGGTGCCGGCCCCTCCCTCTGTGTTTTAAAACATCACTCATGCATTTGTTTCTTTCCCTTTCCTAGGAGATGATCATTTTACCCCAAGTTCAAACTGCACTTAGAAATAAACCAAGTTTCTTTGTGTCAAACACAACAGAGTATTTATTTTGCCACATATTTTCTTTCTTTCTACCCTTTCATTAATTCAATCCTGGAGAAAAGAAACATTTACTGTTTCCTAGATCTTTTTTTTTTCTTTTTCTTTTTTTTTAAAGGCAGAGTGGACAATGAGAGAGACAGAGAGAAAGGTCTTCCTTTTTGCTGTTGGTTCACCCTCCAATGGCTGCCACGGCTGGTGCACTGCAGCCGGTGCACTGCGCTGATCCAAAGCCAGGAGCCAGGTGCTTATCCTGGTCTCCCATGGGGTGCTGGGCCCAAGGACTTGGGCCATCCTCCACTGCACTCCGGGGCCACAGCAGAGAGCTGGACTGGAAGAGGGGCAACCGGGACAGAATCCGGTGCCCCAACCGGGACTAGAAACTGGTGTGCCGGTGCCGCTAGGCGGAGGATTAGCCTATTGAGCCGCGGCGCCGGCCTCTGTTTCCTAGATCTTGAAAACCAGAACTAATATGTCAAAGCCCTAGGAATTCATGAACTTTTGAAGCAAATCATTAATTCATTCAACAGCTCTTTAAGACTTACTACATGCCAAGCATGGCTCTGGGCTTGCAAATAAACTCTCTACTCTCTCAGAGATTATGTATTAGTGGGAGAGATTGAATATAGATAAGTAACGGGGGAAAGTCGGGTAGAGATAGTGAGAGGGGCCCTAGTGTGACCAGGGAAGGGCTCTGTGGAGGGACAGTTGAACACAAAACTAAAAAAGTGAGGAGACAAGCCCTCACATGGGAGGAGAGGTTCAGGAAAATGATAGCGAGAAAAGGAGACATTAGAAGAAAAGGGAGTAGTGTCAGGAGCTTATGGAGATGATCCATCTTAAACTGAAATGTCAAGACTGCTTTTAACTTCAATTACTAAAAATTGAAATTTCTTTACCTGATACAGTTACCACAAGCTCTCTTGGCAACCCAAATATCCGGTTATCTGTGTCAAAGACAATCACCACAGAGCTAGCTGCATCATGATGCACAAAGACCTAGAAGGAGGAAGTCTATGAGTTATGAAAAGGTTTACTCAAGGTATGCAGTAACCCTATTATGTTCTTAGGGATTTTATACAAACCAAGGAGATGATTCACTACCATCTAATGTGCATGAAATGCTACAAGAATTTCCTTTTGTTGTCAAGGGATAGCAAGATAACAAGCTAACACTAATCAAGAGGTGGCCATACTTCTAATCCCTTTATTCCCTTCAGGCTTTCTAACAGTAGTTTCAAAGATGAAGTCTGACAAGGAGTTGAGAATTTACATAACACTACTCAATCTGTGTTTCTTACCTGGGAATGTTGTTGCTGGTACCCATCAGCAATGGCATTGATGTTATGGACCCCTGGCGCTAACAGTACATGGAAATAACCTCCCTCTTTTGTGTGTACTTTTATTCCTTCATTGAGTACAATGACTGCTTTAGAGATTGGTTTTCCAGTCTTATCTTTAACAAATCCATGCACTCCCTTGTGAACCTGAAAAAAATGTTGAAGACATAAATTTGTTTTCATAATGTCTAGAGGCAATAATTTGAGGCATGACCAAATCCAAACAGAAATCAATCTCTGTCTCTCTCTCTTACACATACACGTACACAGAGCAAGCCTGACCTATTCCCCTTCCCAGTGTCTCTGACCTTGCTTGCTTCTCAATCAATGCTTCAGAGTCACAGAGATGAAGATAAGAGAAAGAGAACTGAAGCAGTCAAAGCCTGAAGCATCAGATCCCAGACTCCTAATAGCCTGAATGATTTCCTTGCCACCATGATACACTAACTCCAATAACTGTGTAATTTTCAGATTAAAGATCCTGCAGCATCTCAAAGGTCAAATTAACTAAATTATAGCAGATTCCAGACACATGAATGCATGGCTTCTATTTAGGCAACACAAACTGAACAAAATTCTTCTTTCAATATAAATCTAAAATAAAAATATGAATTTTTGGTGAAAGATTAAGATAAGGTTTTAATAAAGGTTTGTGTTGAAGATATTCCTGGGAGCTTGAAGAGAACGATTTACCTCCACCAACATGCTAAGGAGAGATCTTTTATTTTCTGCCCACAAGGAAGGGAGTTGTGCTGCACTGGGGAAGTAACAGCAGCTTGTATACACTGTGATTTCTGGACAATGGCCATAGGTGACGCTATAATCCTGGAATGGAAAATTAAAAATCAAATGTAAGAAAATTTATAAGCAAATTAAGGCTGAAGCTTTGTAATACAACAAATGCGATTAACAGATTAAAAAGAAAATGAGGTAATGTAAATGAGGTGATGTAAACAAAGAATCTGTAAACATTTTACAGCAAATATAAATAAGCCAGTCTGTACTTAAATCAGTCACAAACACAATCACAATGGCTCCTAAGAGAGCCTTTGAGGACAGGGACTATGTCTAATTCATTTTTACATCTTTGTGCTGGAAGGTAAAGGAGTTTGTTAGTGTTTAATGTATGAAGAAATGATTGAGTACATACAGAGGGTCAGCTTCCCTCTAAACCCTGAAACTGTACTGATGTTCACAGAGGTCTGGAGGTAGAAGAACAAGAACTTGACTTCTGATCTCCTCAACCTGGAGCCTACAGGTGACAACAAGCCACCACCTGTAAGTAGTGTTTATCCAGGCACAGGAACTGCCCATGTACAGGTTCAAAAATGTATCTTACCACATTCCCCTCCCCCCAAAACCTATTTTTTCCTAATTCAATTAATGATATTAACTCATTTTCTTATATGTCCATGAAATTTTTTTGTCTCTGACTTCTTCATTTTACTATCATCCATAATTGGCCAATTCCTGTCAATTCCTTCTCAGCAGTATCTCTGAAACTCAATACCTTGACTTCACTACCATGGCCACTACTCTAATCTGGCTAGACTATTTTTTTTTTTTTTTTTAAGATTTATTTACTTATTTGAAAGGCAGAGTTACAGAGAGGCAGAGGCAGAGAAAAAGAGAGAACTCTTCCATTCTCTGGTTCACTCCCCAGATAGCTGCAACAACCAGAGCTGTGCAGATCTGAAACCAGGAGCCAGGAGCTTCTTTGGGTCTCCCACATAGATGCAGGGGCCCAAGCACTTGGGCCATCTTCTACTGCTTTCCCAGGCCATAGCAGAGAGCTGGACTGGAAGTGGAGCACCTGGGACTTGAACCACTGCCTATATGGGATGCCGGCATAGTAGCACTTGCCCCTGGCTAGACTATTCTAAACCAGTCTCCTGCATCTGGTTCTCTTTCCTCCAGACTATCTTAACCCATCATTAAGACATTAGTTCTCTAAAAAAATTTTTCAAAGATTTATTTGAAAGGCAGAGTGACAGAAATAAAGGGAGAGAAAGAGACATTCTATCTGCTGGTTTATTCTCCAAATGGCTGCTATGGTGGGGCTGGGCCAGGCTGCAGCCAGGAGCCTGGAACTCTATACTAGTCTCCCATATGGGTGGCGGGGACCCAGGTATTTGGGTCATCTTCTGCTGATTTCCCAAGCGCATTATTAGAGACCTGGATCAGAAATGGAGCAGCTGGGACTCAAACTGGCACTCAGATGTGGGATGCTGATGTCCAAATGGCGGCTTAACCAGATGCATCACAATGCCAGCCCCAAGATTTATTTTCTAGTAGCACAGCTTCAACCACGTCACTATATCCTTGCTCAAAACCTAGCCTAAGTATTTACAATGTTGTCAGAAGGAAATTAAAGAACCAAATAAATGGAAAGACATACCATGTCTTTCTCATTGCTCATTTCTCATTGTTCATTTCTCATTGTCTGTCAAAGACAATATTTTAGAGTTATCAATACTACTCAAAGTGATCTATAGATTCAACACAAGTCCTAATAAAATTCTAATACCCTTTTTCTTTGCAGAAAAAGAAAGGCCAATACCCAAAGTCACTGCAGTCTTTGAAAGGAACAGAATTGGATTTGGCAATGGATTCTTATATATGATAACAAAAGCACGAGCAACAAAATGATAAGCTGGACTTCATCAAAATTTAAAAAATCTTGTGCATAAAAGGATATGATAAAGAAAATACAAATACAATCTAAAGAATGAGAAAGTATTTGCAAATTATATATTTGATAAAGATTTAACTTTCTGAATATATGAAGAACTATAGCTCAACAACAAAAAAGGAAACAATTTAAAAATGGGCAGTGACTTATCAGATATTTCTCCACAGAAGATACATAATGGCCATTAAACACATGAAAATATGCTCAACATCACTGGCCATAAGAGAAATACAATCAAAATTATAATGAGACACTATTTCATACCTACTAGGATGGCTACAATTTAAGGAAAAAAAGAAAAGCCCAGAAAACAACAAGTGCTGATAAGAATATAAAGACATTAGAGCCTTTGAACACTGATGATGGAAATGTAAAATCATGCAGCTGCTGTGGAAAACAGTCTGGGGGTTTCTCAAAAAGCTGAAAATGGACTGGCACTGTGGCATAGTGGGTAAAGCTATCACCTGTGGTACTGGCATCCCATATAGGCACCGGTTCATGTCCCAGCTGCTCTACTTCAGATCCAGCTCCTTGCTAGTGAGTCTGGGAATGCAGTAGAAGATGGCCCAAGTCCTTGGGCCCCTGCACCCACGTAGGAGACCTGGAAGAAGCTCCTGGCTCCTGGCTTCACACAGGCCCAGCTCAGGCCATTGTAGCCACTTGGGATTGAACCAGTGGATGGAAGATCTCTCTCTCTCTCTCTGTAACTCTGCCTTTCCAATAAATAAATAAATCTTAAAAAACAAAACAAAAAAAGAACCACATATGCACCAGAAATTCCACTTCTAGGAATACATCTGACAGAACTGAAGACAGAAGTGCAAAGAGATATCTGTAGGTCAGTGTTCATTACATCATTATTTGTAATAGGTAAAAGCAGAAACAACCTAAGTGTCCATCAACATATGAATCAATAAACAAAATGTGGTACATACATATAGCAGATTATTATTCAGCCTGAAAAAGGAATGAAGTGTTGATACAAGATTATGTTGAGTGAAAGAAGCCAGACACAAAAAGATAAATATAGTATTATATCAGTTTCATGAAGTATTAAGAATAGCATAATTTACAGAGACAGAAAATGGGTTAGAGGCTACCAGAGACTATGGGAAGAGGGGCATAGGGAGTCATTCCTAATTGGGAATAGAGTTTATATTTGGAGCAATGAGAAAGCTTTAGAAATATATATGGTGAAGATTGTGTGACACTGTAAATGCAATTAATATCACTGAATTATACAACTAAAAATAGTTAAAGTGAGAAAAAAATTATTGGTAGGTTAATTTAAGAACTATCCATGACCAGAAAGCCAGGAAACAGGTGCTGTTCACTTTGTTGTATCAGAAAAGTTTTCAACTCTTTAGCTCAATGACTGATATTCATAATTGCATTCTAAATGTGTCCTGAGGCATACCTTCATGCTGCCCAGGTGACTGTGCCATTCTGCTCCACGCATTACTCCTCCTGGAATATTCTCATCTACAAAGACATTGAGATGCAATGCCAGTGAGACCAATAAGTGAAAACTCCTCCCCTACAAAAGCAATAATAACAAACTACAGAAAACACTTGCCTGACTTATTTGGGCAGCTGGGCTGACCCATGTGCATTGATGGATGATTATTTGCATAGAGTGATGCCAAATGCTTCAGAGTCTCCTTGTTTTCCACTACAAAAAGAAAAATTCAGTCAGCAGAGAAATCCAAAAGACTTTTCTCTAAGTTCAGCATCATAGATACAGGTCTTCTCCTTCTAGCAAATCTTGCAACCAACTAAAGTTTACTGAGAAGTTGTTATAATTCACTGCATGCCTTAGTTTAGCCCAAGATACTCAGATTTAGACAATCATCTAGGTATTAATGAGGAGTTTTTACTATAGAACCATATAAAATACAAACTTGTTTTGGTATGTTTTACTATATTTGAGGGATGTGCTGGCCTAATAACAACAGTGCTCATAGTCTGAACTGAATACAACCCAAACTATCTCTACATATTACACCCCCTAAAGATTTAACAAGCTAACTGCTTAACTCACCACAAGGTATAACCAGCCAGTCAAACTTTAAAGAAAGGATAACTCTGTACTGTTAATATTTGGTTACCTATAATACGAGTTTTTTGAGGCAGGCACTGTGTCTCATATTTGCTTTTGTATTCCCAGTATCTACAGACATAATGATTGTTCAGTAAGTGCTTATGAACTAAACTGAACAGATGTGCCAACATGGCTAGTCTCATTAAAGCTAGGATGCATTAGATCTGACCTCTCTTCTACAAGTAATTGCTTGAACTCTTGATGTGTGTACAATCTTCTTAGGTCATTATTTGCTTATGAAGTATGCTCAAATGTTCACCATTTAAAAAAATTTAGAAGGGACACTACTGACTTGAAATTTCTTATGTAACTTTCAGTAGTGTGTATGTGTGTGTGTGTGTGTTTTAATATAATGACATTCAACCCACCTGTCTGTACTGGCTTGTCATATGGGTATGTGACCAACACAGAACCACCATCCAAAGCAACAGAAAGACTGAAGTCCTGTTTCTGAATCAAATTTTCAATGATGGCTTTTGTCTCAGGCTGGGAAGCATTATCTAAGTAAGAGTCAAATACAAAATATCAAATTTTAGTGTGACATTTTAGAAAATTCTTTACTTGAACACCATCAAAATGCCAGCTTACACAATTCATAAATACTTTATTTTTCCATAAACCACTATTTCAAGTAACAAAGATATCTTTTAGAAAGTAGGTTATTCTGAGTTTATATACTTTAGAATGACATGTTTACATTAATAGCTCTAAACAAGCTTAAGAAAAAAATTTTTTTAAAGATTTATTTGAAAGTCAGAGATATATAGAGGGAGAGATAGAAATATAGATCTTCCATCTACTGGCTCACTCTCCAAATGGCAGCAACAGCAGGGGCTGTACAAGGCCAAAGCCAGGAGCCTAGAGCTGCTTCTGGATCTCCCATGTGGGTAACAAGGCCCAAAGACTTGGGCCAATCTCTGCTGCTCCCAGATGCATCAGCAGGGAGCTGGATTGGAAATGCAGCAGCCAGGATTTGAACCGGTGCCTATATGGGATGCCAGCACCACAGGCAGCAGTGTTAACTGCTATGTCACATTACTGGCCCCTAAGAACATTCTTAAAGAAAAAAATAAAGATGGATATACCCCAGTTTAAAAAATAATTTAAGGGAACATATAACCTATTTTTAATATACTTTTTAAAAATTTATTTGTTTTTGTATCAAAGCCAGAGAGTGAGGGAGAGAGAGGGAGAAGAAGAGAAGAGGGAGAGATCTCCTAATCTCTCCCCAAATGTCTGCAACATCTGGGGTTGGGCCAGGCCAAGTCTAGGAGTCCAGAATTCAATTCAAGTCTCTCACAGGGTGGCATGGATCTAAGTGCTTTGAGCCATCATCTGCTGCCTGTCAGGGTACACATTTGCAGAAAGCTAGAACCAGAAGTAGAGCAAGGACTTAAACCTAGGCATTCTGACATGTGATGTGAGTATCTCAACCAGAATATGTGCCCAATAGTTGACCCAATTTCACGATATAACCTATCTTTGAAAGAAAATAAGATTTCCAGGAAGCAGAGTATTTTCTGCAGCATTGTTTGCAAGAATAAAAAAAAAAAAAAAAGCCCAGAAACAAATTAAATGTCCATCAACATAAGGCAGAGTAGTGTATATATAAAGACATCATTAAAGGGGCTGGTGCTGTGATGTAGTAGGTAAAAGCCACTGCCTGCAGAGCCAGCATCCCATATGGGCACCAGTTTGAGTTAACTGTTGCAGCCAACTGAAGAGTGAACCAGTGGATGGAAGACCTCTCTCTCTCTGCCTCTGCCTCTCTGTAACTCTGCCTTTCAAAATAAATAAATAAATCTTAAAAAAAAAAAGGTCATTAGATCTAGAAGTACTAAAATGGAAAGTTGTTAATGACACAATGAAAAAATTTACAAAATTATATGAATAGTTGATGATCCTATTTAAATAAGAAACAAACCCCTGTAAATCAACATACATATATATCATGTGAGTTCATATAGTGAAAGAATTCATATATCTATACAACTAGTGACAGAACATCCCAATATTATTGATTGAATTTCTGCAAGAAAAACTTGAATTATTTTTACAAATGAAAAAGAACGATTTAAAAAGTTTTCTGGATGTCTGCATTCATTTATGCATCATTTATAATAAGAAAAGAAACTAACACATATTCATCTACAAAATAAGATCAACTGATCCTCTAGAAAAGAAAGAGAAAATAATCTCTCAAGTACTTAAGTGGCTTAAAAATATTAGTCTTTCTGGGCTGGCATTGTGGAGTAGCAGGTTAAGCTACTACCTGCAACACTGGCATCCCATACAGGCACTGGTTCATGTCCCAGTTGCTCCATTTCCAGCTCCCTGCTAATGTGCCTGGAAAGGCAGCTCCAGATGACCCCTGCCAGCCACATGGGAGACCCGGATGAAGCTCTAGGCTCCTGGCTTTGGCCTGGCACAGTGGTGACCGTTGTGGCCACTTGGGGAGATCTCTCTCTCTCTCTCTCTGTCTTTCAAATAAATAAATCTTTTACAGAAAGGGAGAAAGATACGGAGGGAGGGAAGGAAGAAGGGAGGGAGGGAAGAAGGGAGGAAACTGGTCTGACTTGTGAAGTCTGTATCCAGGTCTTTGCCGCGAGCATTTGTTTGTCCCATCTTTGAAGTACAGTCTTTCTCTTGTGCTCTTTCTCGTCCGTCTGGATTCAGAGAAGGGACAATCACAATCCTAGTCCTGTCAACTAACTGAAACAGAAACAAAAATCAATGGGGTTATCAGTTCCCTCCTACGCCTCAGATGGAAAATCTTTATATTTTACTCTAAACACAGTTAAAAGACAGAATTAAAATAAATAAATAAATAAACTTTTCTCTTGTTCCAAATAAATTTAAAAGGAATAAAAAACTGCTATACAACTAATGTTCCCAGAGTCCTCCTGGTGACTTAAGGCAAGGGTCAGAAACCACTACCTGTAGGCAAAATCCAGTCTGTTGCCTGCTACTGCATATAAAACTTTATGGGAACCCGGTCATCCCCATTTGTAACTGTTTTGGTGCCGTAACAGCAGAGCTGAGCGGTTACAACACAGAGCATCCACCCCACAAGGCCTTTATAGAAGTGTGCTGACTACTGGCTGAGATCAATAATGATGATGAGATACTTCCCTGGATTAAAAATTATAATGTCTAATCTGACAGATACTAATGAACATCTGGAAACAAAGAGAAAGAAGACTGAAATCACGCCAGAAAAAAAAAAAAAAAAAAAGACGTGAGACATTTATCTTATCCATAATAATTTATCTTGCAGGTAACTGATAAGTATGCATACTGACAAATGTGGTATGAACTGATTTCTATTTCATCCTATGTATTTTTTTTTTTAAGATTTATTATTTGAGGGGCTGGTGCTATGGCACAGTGGATTAAAGGCCAAGCCTGCAGTACTGGCATCCCACGTGGGCACCAGTTCAAATCCCAGCTGCTCCACTTCCAATCCAGCTTCCTACAAATGTGCCTGGGAAGGCAGTGGAAGATGGCCCAAGTCCTTGGGCCCCTGCACACACGTGGGAGATCAGGAAAAAGCTCCTGGCTCCTGACTTTGGATTGGCGCAGCTCCAGCTGTTGTGGACAACTGGGGAGTGAACCAGCGGATGGAAGACCTCTCTTATTGTCTCTTACCTCTCTCTGTTACTCTTTCAAATAAAAAAAAATAAATCTTTTAAAAAAATAGCCATTTTGTTAAAAAAATACTTATTATTTGAAAGGCAGAGTTAGAGAGAGGCAGAGAGAGAGAGAGAGAGAGAGAGAAAGAGGGCTTCCATCTTCTGGTTCACTCCCTAAATGGCCACAATGGCTACAGCAGAAACGATCTGAAGCCAGGAGCCTGGAGCTTCTTCCAGGTCTCCTACATGGGTGCAGGGGCCAAGGACTTGGGCCATCTTCCACTGCCTTCCCAGGCACATTAACAGGGAGCTAGATCAGAAGTGGAGCAGCCGAGACTCAAACCAGCACCATATAAAACGCTGGCACTGTAAATGGTGACTTTACCTGCTACATCACAGCACCATCCCCAATCCTATGCATTTCTTACAATAAATCATAAGGGATCCCTGGTTTATTCATTCTGATAAAATAGTCTGTACAGATTGCAGCAATATCTGAGAGCCTTTAAATTGTGGTTCTTGAATCTCTCCTCTGGGGCAATTTTTTTCTAAGGTATACCTTGTGTTTAATCACAGGCCTACTTAATTAGAATCCCTGAGATGGGATCTCTGAGCACGTGTATATTTCCTTTTAACTTCCTGGATAGTACTGATCCTTAGCTCAAAACAAATGGCAATCTAAAATCATTTAGGTCTTAATTTAGGCTCAATTAAACAAGTGGGCAAATCCTCATAAACAAGGACTTCTGAAATTCCTGTTAGTTGCTTTATCTGGGATATATAGTTTCTTATAACCATAAGACCAGTAGGTTGCAAATCTGGACAAATATTAGAATAACCTAAAGATGGGGGCCAGTGCTGTGGCATAGCAGGTAAAGCCGCAGCTTGCAGTGCTGGCATCCCTTATGGGTGCTGGTTCAAGTCCCGGCTGCTCCACTTCCAAAGATCCAGTTCTCTGCGGTGGCCTGGGAAAGCAGTAGAGGATGGCCCGAGTCCTTGGGCCCCTGCACCCACGTGGGAGACCCAGAGAAGCTCCTGGCTCCTGGTTCCAGATTGGCACAGCTCCGGCTGTTGCAGCCAACTGGGGAGTGACCCAGCGGATGGAAGACTTCTCTCTCTCTCTCTCTCTCCTTCTCTCTCTGTGTAACTCTGAATTTCCAATAAATAAATCTTTTTTAAAAAATAACCTAAAGATTTTTTTATAAAGATGTATTTATTTGAAAGTTACACAGAGTTACACAGAGAGAGGAGAGGGAGAGAGACAGAGATAGAGAGAGAGGTCTTTCATCCACTGGTTCACTCCCCAATTGGCTGCAATGGCCCGAGCTGTGCCAATCCAAAGCAAGGAACCAGGAGCTTCTTCTGGGTCTCCCATGTGGGTGCAGGGGCCCAAGGACTCAGGCCATTTTCTGCTGCTTTCCAAGGCACATTGGCAGGGAGCCAGATTGGAAATGGAGCAGTGGGGACTCAAACTGGTATCCATATGGGATGCTGGCACTGCAGGCTGCAGCTTTACCCATTATGCCACAGCGCCAGACCGAGCACTGATGTTTTTAAAAGCTTCTCAGGTGTTTCTAATGTAGACCGATGGTGGAGAACCATTGTCCTCAACACTGTCCCATTTTAAAAGACAAGCAAAAGTGTCATGGAGATACTACATGAGAAGTCAGTGGAAACTGCTTTGCTAAAGATGGTAAAATAATTTTCAGTTCAGTCAAATTTGTCATCTCATCTAATCACACAGGTTCATTTTGATCCTACTCATGACATCAATTCTTCCCAAATTTCTTTTATCAGGAGGCAGTACAATATAACAAAACTGTAGGGGCTTTATACTGAGACATACTTGGGTTTAAACTCCAGTTTCAGGAGTTACTACTAGCTGTGAGACTTCCTAGAAGTTAACAGAGATCTCTCTGCCTCAGTGTCTACATCTATGAAGTAGACATAATTATTATTACAGAGTTGAGGATTAAACAGGTCTCCTGTCTCAGAAAATTAATTGGCACTGTTTCAGATATTGTCTGCTGGTTGTTAATGGTGTAAGCAAAGCACTTGGTATGATACCTGGCACACAGTAGGTATTTACAGATAGGAGTCCTTTTCTCCTCGACAGTGCCAATCAGTGCTAGCGAAGGACGTGTTCTTTCCTTCCTTTCCCTGAGGCAGACAGAACTGTTGTTGAAGCACACGTGACCAAGACTCCAGCTCAAAGTTCTCTTCTGTAGTCCCTAGCTCAAGTAGACAATGCCACATTGCTCTGTCTAAAATCTGTTAGCTGAGGCTGGTGCTGTGGTATAGTAGGTGGGATCTCTGCCTGTGGCGTTGGCATCCCATATGGGCACAGGTTCAAGTTCCAGTTGCTCCACTTCTGATCCAGCTCTCTGCTGTGGCCTGGGAAGGTGGAAGAAGATGGCCCGAGTGCTTGGGCCCCTGCACCCGCATGGGAGACCTGGAGAAAAGTCCTGGCTCCTGGCTTCAGACCAGCCCAGCTCTGGCTGTTGTGGCCATTTGGGGAATGAACTAGTGGGTGGAAGACTTTTCTCTCTGTCTCTCCTTTTCTCTGTAACTCTGCCTCTCAAATAATAAATAATTTTTTTTTGATAGGCAGAGTTAGTGAGAGACAGAAAGAGAGAAAGGTCTTCCTTTCCATTGGTTCACCCCCCCAAATGGCCACTACAGTTGGCGTGCTGCGGCCGGCGCGCTGTGCTGATTCAAAGCCAGGAGCCAGGTGCTTCCTCCTCCTGGTCTCCCATGTGGGTGCAGGGCCCAAGCACTTGGGCCATCCTCCACTGCACTCCCAGGCCACAGCAGAGAGTTGGACTGGAGGAGGAGCAACCGGGACAGAATCCAGCGCCCCGACAGGGACTAGAACCCCGGGGTGCCAGTGCCGCAGAAGATTAGCCTAGTGAGCCACGGCGCCAGCCCGTCCAGTATGTTTTAATGTATCATATGAAAAGAAAAACTATATAGCTTTCACTATATTTTAAAATACAGTGTCCTAGTTTTAAGTAATTGAAAACAGAAGTTCCCCAAGTTAGAATGTCGAGAACTGTAAATAAAAATCGGAAGGGGAGCTTGGCTATTAATAAATAAGCTGAAGCAAATCTTTAGTATGTTTTCTTGTATGACCTCTTAGTATTTACAAAGAAATATAACAGAAGGATAATATTAACAATGAATATATACAAAAAATAGTTCATAATGTACTGAAAGTGCCTCCGTGTAAAATCTAACAAAAACTACTGATCTTTACATGGTGCCCTGATATTAATGTATCACTGATCCTTTTCCTTATAAGTATGTCAGAATAGGCTATTCTCTTACCTGGGTAACAGCTGTGTTCTTTTTGTAGTGCAGACAGAGAAATTCTGCCAAAGCCAAAAGCAGCTCAGTTCCAACTGGAGCGTTGCCATGGATACCAGCAACAAAACGAATCTTTGGTTCTTCGGGCTCAGATACATTCGGCTTATTAGAGATTTCAAGGGACCAAATGTGACGATATTCAGCACTCTGTCCCAAACTTTTAAAAGGCAGAAACAAAATGTTAGCAAGTAATCAAGCACTATGTTAATGCTGACTTAGGAGCTTTAAAAAAAAAAAAAAAGAAAAAGAAAAAACTGTAAATTCTTTAAGAACGAATCATTGTGTCAGAAAACTTTAAGAAAATCAGTTTACCTTGACCAAAAGAGTCAGATTTTAGATAGCATCAGATTTAGGAAAAGTGATAATTTAGTTCAGCATCCCTCCCAATTTATCATTCTTACTCTAACTGCACAATATTTGCCTCTCTTCTATAATTTACACTACTATTTCACTAGTGCATGTCTTTTAAATTCATTCTTTAAATTTTTCTTATGGAAATATTTAAATATTAGTGAATATGGAGAACCTCCCTTTTTCAACCCAAATTAATCTATATAAACATATTTTAATATAAATATAACATCAGTTTCATAGTAAAGATACTTTATTAAAAACAAAACAATGGTTAAATGCTCTGCTTATCCAAGAGTTCTGAGTATAATGCTCTTTACTATAAAGAGAAATTTATAGGGCCAGCACTGTGGTATAGCAGGTAAAGCCACCACCTGTAGCGTGGGCATCCCACATGGGCGCCAGTTCGAGTCCCGGATGCTCCACTTCTGATCCAACTCTCTTCTGATCCCTATGGCCTGGGAAAGCAGTAGAAGATGGCCCAAGTCCTTGGGCCCCTGCACCCATGTGGGAGACTACAGATTGGCGTAGCTCCGGACATTGTGGCCAACTGGGAAGTGAATCAGCGGATGGAAGATCTCTTTCTCTCTCTCTACCTCTCCTCTCTTCTGTGTAACTCTGACTTTCAAATAAAATAAATAAATCTTTAAAAAATTTTTTTAAAAAGAAATTTACAAAAGTTAAATAGAAAAGAAAGTCAGTGACTGGTGATATGGCGTAGTGGGTTAAACACTTGCCTACAGTGCTGACATCCCATAAAGGTGCCAGTTTGAGTTCTGGCTGCTCCATTTCTGATCCAGCTCCCTGCTAATGTGTCTGGGAAAGCAGCAGAAGATGGCCTAAGTGCTTGGGTTCCTGAACCCATGTAGGAGACCTGGAAGAAGCTCCTGGATTCAGCCCAGTGTAGCCCTGGCTGTTGAGGCCATTAGGGGGAGTGAACAGGTGGATGGAAGATCTCTTTGTCTCTCTGTGTCTCTCTCTCAAATTCTCTTTCAAAAATAAATATCTTTAAAAAGTAAAATAAAATACAATAAAAATTAAAACATTAGGTGGCAAGCAGAATTTTAAAGAAAATCATCATTAAACTGAGAAAGTAATAGAATAAAGACTGCTTTCTCATGATGCTGTTCAAGGATACCTAGTGTATATACCACGTAAAACTGGGTGGAGCCCCACAAAAAGTAGGTGTGCTATATTTTGGCAAATAGTTAACTATAAAAGTATATCTTGAAATAAAGAGTTAAAAAAGTTAAATGAACTAAGTAAACAGACAGCAAAATAATGTCCTATTTTTAGTTTATTTTAAAGTAAGAGTATAAACTTTATATGGCTAAGCTAGGCAAAAATATTTGAGAACCAGTTGAGGAAGAGAGGTAACTAGTATTGCTAAAGTAAATATCATTCTTTGCATCTATTTAACATTATAAATCAGAATTTGGAAGCTAAATTTTCTGGTTAAATTTTCTTTTTAGATTTATTTATTTGAAAGACAGTTACAGTGAGGCAAAGGCAGAGAGACAGAGAAGACAGAGAGAGGTCTTCATCCACTGGTTCACTCCCCAGATGGCCGCAACAGCTGGAGCTGGGCTGCTTCAAAGCTAGGAGCCAGGAGCTTCTTCCAGGTCTCCCATGACTTGGGCCATCTTCTACTGCCTTCCCAGGGCATAGTAGAGAGCTGGATCAGAAGTGGAGCAGCCAAGACTGGAACTGGCGCCCATATGGGACACCAGCACTGCAGGCGGCGGCTTTACTCTCTATGCCATAGCGTTGGCCTCTCTGGTAAAATTGAAAGGACCAATGAAGAAAGGCAGAGTAAAAACGTAGGGTAGGGCCTAGCATTGTGGTATAGTCGGTTAAGCCATCATCTGCAATGCTGGCATCTCGTATGGGTGCTGGTTGGTGTCCTCGCTGCAACCAGGCTTCATTTTCTAATGTGAAAAAAAGGTTACACATGATCCCTGACAGGTGAGCTCATAGTTCCAAATTTCTCCCTTGCCTTCAACACAATAAAACATACTAAACAATACTTAGTCAAAACATGAATCTGTAGCTGAGAAGTGCAAAGGATTTTGAAATCATTCAAAGTAAGCATTAGGAAGACTAATTTTACATTTCTAGAGGCTCAAGCTGTCTATTGCTGATGTGACAAGTAATTCTCCAATGGTCCTCATAAATGTTCCCAAGATTCATTGCTGTTTCTTTTTTAGATTTATTTTAGCTTTTTGGAAGGCAAAGTTAACAGAGAGAGAGTGAAAAACAGAGATCTTCTATCTGTTGGTTTACTCCCCAAATGGCCACAACAGCTAGGTCTGGGCCAGGCCAAAGCTAAGAGTCTGGAACTCCATCCAGGTTTCCCATGTGGGTGGCAGAGGTCCAAGTAGTTGGGCCATCACTGGCTGCTTTCCCAGACACATTAACTGGGAGCTGGATTGGAAGTGGAGCAGCCAGGATTTGAATCAGTGCTCACGTGGGATGGCACTGCTGCAGGAAGCAGCTCAACCTGCTGTGCCATGACGGAGGTCCTGAGATTCATTGTTAGAAAGATCTCCAAGCAAATATCTGTGGCAAAATAAGTAAACTCCAATTCTCTATACATTCAGCTCCCAAATATTTCTAAATAAATTACAAGAATTGCTTAACGTGTCTAATATTAAATGTACCTTCTTAAAAAGAAAACAGAGAAAAAAATCAATCAAATGGTGACACTTACTTGGTAAGATTTGTAATGTGTGGATAGTTCATTACAAGTCCTCTTAAAAACTCTGATAAGTCTTTGTATGAATGATACCGATAAAGAGCCAGATTTGAGGAAGAGCTTAACATGAGGTTTTCCAAACCATTCTCAGCCGAAAGGTCTTTAATTAAAGCTTCAAATTCCTTAGTAGTTGGATCAGTGGAATAATCGGTGCTGGTGCTGTCCCCCTTTCCTTTCTTTGATTCATTGTTTGAATCTGTTGAGGATCGAACAAGTGTGAAGTTGACCTGAATAGCGCCGTCGCTCTTCACGGTCACATTCTTGGTGACTGGATTATACCTACAATAAAGGAGACAGCTCAGAGCCACACTTCTCTGACTGCAGGACCCAAGCCCTGGGAAAACAGAGCTGTGCAGACGATGTGTGAATCACTGGGGCAAATGTGGTGCCTCTTCTAGAGCCAAACTTTTAACTCTGAGGTAATCTGCAATTTTTAAAAACATTAACAAAGAACAGACATGTGCATACTGTAAAATATGAGTGTATTTTAATGATTAAATAAATGACTTCAAAAACAAGTCTGTGCTTGCAGTGGGTAATCCCATGTGTCCTCAATCTGAGTTCATTTGTCTGCTATCAGGTGATCTGGGGAGCAAGGTTTGAAATGCACTAATAGGACATTCTCCATCAAAACACCATTCTTGACCCTGCTTTTCAGACAATGTGCACTTTAGTTTATCTACTACTCTGCTAAATGGGAAAAAAAAGGAGAAACTCATTACTTATTAGTGTTAACTCTTGTATATATGGCCCATGAGATATTTGAAAATAAATTTTTTTAAAAAAAGTAAAAATCATAAATTTTCCATGTATTTATCCTTACTTCAAAAAGTTTCATTAACTCTTCAGACATAGTTAGTAGGGGGAGGGGAAAATATTTTGTTATAACACACTTATCAAAACATAAGAAAAAACGACAAGAATGTAAAACTGATGTTTCAGATAAAACAGTCAAATGGTTCCAATTCCAAGCTATTTGTAAAAGGAGAAGATAAAGAAAATGTAAGGTGTTGTTTTTTTTTTTTAAAGAAAGCACACAAGTTCATTTTCTATTTTCAAATAAACAAACCTTTGTAGAAAGAAAACTTGTGAGAGAGATGAAAATGGCCATAAGGCACATAAACACTAGTGAAAAAAGAGTATCTGTGAGAGAGCTTTGACAGGGTAAATTAGTGGCAACTACTGGACAACACAACTAGAAGCAGACAGCTGAACAGGAGAATTTTTTTTTTCTTTGAAGAAACAGTTACTTCCAGGAATTGTTAGCAACGGTGAAGGAGGTTACTTAGAGAGGCTTTTATATCAGGACAGGGGCCAGCTGATCAGAGAGCAGCAGGGTAAACACAGCCACTGTTCAGAGTGCTTACTCCATGGGCTTGCAGCTGGCAGTTCCTATGCTCCCTCTGCCCCAAGAGGAGAGTGGAAGGTGTAACCAGCTCAGAACCTCCCAGCACTGGACTCAAGGTTGCATAGCAGGTTCTCAACTTTCTGGTGATAATCTTCCAGAAACGCATCATATCTATCTTATCCCCAAGCCCTCAATTTTAAAACATTCATCACTCACCCTCGAGCAGATGCTGTGATTTTGTAAGTTCCTGGAACCAAGAGACGCCAATAATCTCCAGTTTTGTATGTAGTCACTGGGTGATTAATTTCAGCAACACTGATGGTGGCGTTTAATATACCTCTGCCATCTGTGGCATCCAGTACAAATCCTTTGACACCTTGATGAACCTGAATAAAGTGTAAGGACACCCAGATTTCAATTAGATTATCATATCCAAAATAACAGAATATTAACAATGTAAACAGAACAAACAGAAATTTAACAGTTCAAAGCAAAGCCAAATGGAAATGCCCATTAAACAAAGTATTTTAGTTTCTGAAGACTACTTTTTCATAGGCTAAGCTATCTTTATCATTAAGAATATGGTCTATAAGGGGCCTGTGCTATGGCATAGTGAGTAAAGCTGCTGCCTGCAATGCTGGCATCTCATACAGGCACCAGTTCAAGTCCCGGATACTCCACTTCCAATCCAGCTCCCTGCTGATGCACCTGGGAAAGCAGCAGAAGATGGCCCAAGTGCTTGGGTCCCTGCATCCATATGGGAGACCCAGAAGAAGCACCTGACTCCTGGCTTCAGACCGGCCTAGCTCCAGCTGTTGTGGCCATCTGGGGAGTGAACCACCAGATGGAAGAGCTCTCTATTCTCCCTCTCTCTCTCTGTAACTCTGCCTTTCAAATAAATAAATATTTGTAGGGAAAATAGAAAGCAAATGGCTACATTAAAAAAAAAAAAAAACAGTATGTTTGGGCTGGTGCTGTGGTGCAGCGGGTTAACGCCCTGGCCTGAAGCGCTGGCATCCCATATGGGCGCCTGTTTGAGGCCCTGCTGCTCCACTTCCAATCCAGCTCTCTGCTATGGTCTCTCAGTCTCTCGGTCTCTCTCTCTCTCCCCTCTCTCTATCTCTGCCTCTCTCTGCCTCTTCTCTCTCTGTGTAATTCTGACTTTCAAATAAATAAATAAATCTAAAAAAAAAAAAACCAGTATGTTCTACAAAATGTAAACTTTAGCATAGTCTGAATATTTCAGAATATAGAACATTCTGCAAGAAAACAGGGCTGGACTCTTCAAAAATGAAGTGGTGTTTTTTAAACAATGCAAAGGCTATTTAAACAATGCAAGGACTATTTATTTAAAGAGTAAAGAGATACAATAATCAAATGTAATACATAGTGGTTAAGTCACTATTTGGGATGCCTACATCCTACATCAGAGCTCCAGATCCTCTGCTTCAGATCCAGCATCCTGCTAAAGTGCATCCCAGGAGGCAACAGATGGACAAGTACTTCGGTCTCTGCCATCCATGAGGGAGATCTGGAGGAGTTCTGGGCTCCTAGCTTCAGCCTTGCCCATCCCTGGTTGTTGCAGGTATTTAGCAAGCATACCAGCAGATGGAAGATAGATCTCTGTCTGCCCACCTCCCTCTCAATCTGCCTTTCAAATAAAATGAAAATTTTAAAAAAGGAAAGATTAAAAGAAAAATTTTTTTGAAAAATGCAGTTTGGGCCAGTGCTGTGATACACACATTTTGACTAGATCTGGGTTTTAAAAATACAGCTTTAAATCTACATTTTGAGGACAGTTTTGAAAATTTGAATATAAGCCGGCGCTGTGGCTCAATAGGCTAATCCTCCGCCTAGCGGCGCCGGCACACCAGGTTCTAGTCCCGGTCGGGGCGCTGGATTCTGTCCCGGCAGCCCCTCTTTCAGGCCAGCTCTCTGCTGTGGCCCAGAAGTGCAGTGGAGGATGGCCCAAGTCCTTGGGCCCTGCACCCCATGGGAGACCAGGATAAGCACCTGGCTCCTGGCTTTTGGTTCAGCGCGGTGGGCTGGACGCAGAGCGCCGGCCGCGGCGGCCATTGGAAGGTGAAACAATGGCAAAGAAAGACATCTCTCTGTCTTCCTTCACTGTCAACCTTGCCGTGCATAGACCAGAAGCATATGAGGAGGGAGACGAAAAGAAATTTAAATATAGACCAGGTGTTAGGTAATATTAGAGAATTACTACTCATTTTCTTAATTAGATAAAGGTATTTAGAGACAACTTGTAGAACATCCTTGTTTTTCAGAGATGCTGAAATACGTATATAAATATAATAGCATACTACCTACATTTATATTGAGATGGCTCAGCCAAAATATATTATAAATAATATACATATAAATACAGCAAATACAGCAAAATACTAAAAACTGCTTCATCTAGGTATATGAAGAAAAGTGGTGTTTTTTTTTTTTTTTTTTTTTTTTTGACAGGCAGAGTGGACAGTGAGAGAGAGAGACAGAGAGAAAGGTCTTCCTTTGCCGTTGGTTCACCCTCCAATGGCCGCCACGGCCGGTGTGCTGCGGCCGGCACACCGCGCTGATCCGATGGCAGGAGCCAGGTGCTTCTCCTGGTCTCCCATGGGGTGCAGGGCCCAAGTACTTGGGCCATCCTGCACTGCACTCCCTGGTATTTTTTTAAAAGAGATTTATTTATTTATTTGAAAGGCACAGTTGCAGAGGAAGAAAAGGAGAGACAGAGAAAGATCTTCCATCTGCTGGTTCACTCCTCAGCCCCTACTGTATTAATCTTAAAACTTTTTCTGTATGTTTAACATTTTTCAGGATAAAATATTTTTAAACATAAGTAAACTCATGGCCTTTATACCACACTATTCAGAAAGAAGATAAAGTCAAAAGTACTGGTACAAACTACTAGTCAGATTGCCCTAACTATCCATAAGCATGTTTCATATATCTTTACCTATTGGCCACCTTGCATAGTCAAACAAAAGGAAATTAACTTTTTCCCAGTAAATCATGGGCAATAAGAAAAAGAATAAAAGCACTTATTCCACAGCCCTTCTTTCAATCACCTGACAAATGCTTAGGTATGTATCCAACTTACATTGGCATTTTATAAAGACAGAGCAAAAAGCGGCCAGTAACCGTCAGGAGCAAAACATCACTACTCTGTTTTACCATTTTCTTCAACTCTTCCTCAGACATAGAAACAAATCAATTTGAATACAAGAGTTTTCTAAATAAATACATTCAACAAATTGGAATACACAAATGGAACAAATCTAAAACTTTAGAATGTATTCTAAAGTTACTGCATGAAAACCATATGTGTACACAAAAATCTTATTCTTAGGAAAAATTTCATACTTCACTCCTGAATAGTCACCTGTTTCATAAACTGGATTAGAGATCTTCGATTCTGTTCCCAAAACTTTGGCAAATCTTTCTCAAGTGGGTATTTCACACAACCCAGCTCGATGGTGACTTCAAAGCAGTTTGTTTGCAAGTAGTTCCAGTCCTGCATTCCACCTGAAGGATAAAAGCTTAAAATACGTCACCCTGAAGAAGTTTTAAATAACTCAGATCCTGAAAGATAAACAGAATTCCTAGTAAAAGCCAAATTCATCCTGCATCACTGTTGGTCAAAAAACAATACTTTGACTTGAGAGCTCTTTGATGCTTGTGGTATGGGCAAAGCACCTACACTTTCACTTCAAGAAGAATTCAAGTGTAGCTTGCATCCCTTCTATTAGCATATACAAAGTTCTTTGTAATAGCCAGAAATAAAATGTAACACCTGCATCAAATTTTAATGCATTACTTTCATTCAAAACTCAAACTGCGGGTGCCAGTGCTGTGACATAGCGAGTAAAGTTTCAGCCTGCAATGTCAGCAAGCCATATGGCGCTGGTTTGTGTCCTGGCTGCTCCACTTCTGATCCAGCTCCCTACTAACGGCCTAAGAAAAGTAGCAGAAGATGGCTCAAGGCCTTGGGCCCCTTCCACCCATGTCAGAGACCTGGATGAAGCTCCTGGCTCTTGACTTCGGCCTGGCCTAGCTCCAGACATTGTGGCCATCTGGGGGGTGAACCAACAGATGGAAAATCTGACTCTCCCTTCCTCTATAACTCTTTCAAATAAATAAATAAATAAATGTTTTAAAAGATTTATTGTATTTATTTGAAAGAGTTACAGAGAGAGAGGTAGAAACAGACAGAAAGAGAGAGAGAAACAGAGAGACAGAGAGGTTTTATCTTATATTTTTTACATTTTTTTTATTTGAAAGAGTTACAGAGAGGCAGAGGCAGAGAGAGAAAGGGCTTCCATCTGCTGTTTTACTCCCCAGAAGGCCATAACAGCTGGAGCTTTGCCAATCCAAAGCCAGGAGCCAGGAGCTTCTTCTGGGTCTCCTATACAGGTGCAGGGGCCCAAGGATTTGGGCCATCCTCTACTGCTCTCCCAGGCCATATCAGAGACTTGGATTTGAAGTGGAGCAGCCAGGACTTGAACTAGCGCCCATATGAGATGCCAGCACTGAAGGAGGTGGCTTTACGTACTATGCCACAGCCGCTGGTCCCAAGAGAGGTCTTCTATCTGCTAGTTCACTCCCCAAATGGGTGCAACAGCCAGAGTTGAGCCGATCCAAAGCCAGGAGTCAAGAATTCTTCCAGGTCTCTCACATGGGTGCAGGGGCCCAAGAACTTGGGCCATCCTCTGCTGCTTTCCCAGGCATGTTAGCAGGGAGCTGGATCAGAAGTGGAATAGCTGGGACGCGAACCGGTGCCCATATGGGATACTGGTACTGCAGGCCATTGCTTTAACCTGCTGCACCACAGCACTGGCCCAAATAAATAAATCTTAGGAAAAAAAAACCTCAAAGTGTATCTACTGTAAAAAGTTAAAAATATTATGCGACTGTTTTAAAAATATGTAAATATTTTAAAAAGAATGATCCTTTTGGAGTTGGCGCTGTGGCATGACAAGTTAAACTGCTGCCTGCAATGTTGGCATCGCATATGGCTGCAGGTTAAAGTCCCAGAAGAAGCTCCTGGCTCCTGGCTTTGGCACGGCCCAGCTCTGGCTGTTGTGGCCATTTGGGGAGAGAACCAGTGGATGGAGGGTTTCTTTCTCTGTCTCTCCCTGTCTCTCTCTCTGTAACTTTGCCTTTCAAATAAATAAAATAAACCTTTAAAAAAAAATGACCCTGTGCCAGCACTGTGGTGTGGTGCGTAAAGCTGCCTCCTGCAGTGCTGGCATCCCATATGGGTGCTGATTCGAGTCCTGGCTGCTCTACTTCTGATCCAGATCTCTGCTATGAACTGGGAAAGCAGAAAATGGTCCAAGTCCTTGGGCCCCTGCACCCATGTGGGAGACCTGGAAGAATTCTTGACTCCTGGCTTTGGACTGGCACAGCTCTGGCCGTTACTGCCATCTGAGGAGTGAATCAGGGATGGAGGACCTCTCTTTCTTTCTCTGCCTCTGCTTCTCTGTGACTCTGCCTTTTAAATGAATAGATAAATCTTAAAAAAAAGACCCTTTCCCAAAATTAATAGGTTACTAACAAGCAGAACCATCCAGGAGAGTGGAAAATCTGGAAAGGTGTAAGGCCTGGATATTAAATAATCTCACCTGGGACATTATACCAACTAGCCCCATTTGTTATTCCATGAGGAAAATATTCATTAGGGTACATATTCTTGCATGGTCTACCTTGAAACATCTGGGAATTTTCCTGAAAAACAAGTAAAGCGTCTGCATCAAAAACACTAGAAAGATAGGAAAATAATAAAAGTGATTACTAACAGAGTATGTTAAGGAGGTGGGGGTGGGGATGTGGTAGATGGAACCATGGGAGGCAGTAAGAGTTTTTCCATGTGCTATTTTTTGATTATGTCAATTTATTATCTATTTTTAAGAACAATGGTTGAATGTGTTCTTTAAGAAAATACTGAAGACGTCATGTATGAGATTCAGTTACAAATAACTTAACACCTAACCTAAACCCTCTCTAAACACAAAATTCTGCTTGTACTTTCATTTCAGGCTTTGAAGGAGTGTGACGTTCAGAAAAGATGATGCACACACATGGAGTGAGCGGTAAGCAGCTTCCCCCAGCTTCTCAGGGACTGAGCGAGGCCTGCTGTGCTTTGTACCATGTACAACAATGATCTTATCCTGTGACTGCCGGCTGCATCTTTTTCTTCCTTGAATACAATACTCCTTTGAAATGGTTTGTCTTCAGCATGTAGCCTAGTGTCCAGCATACAGCACAAGTGGAACTGCTTACTCAAGGAAGGCCAAGAAATACTGCCATGGAGGCATGAGCAAATGTTATTGGAATCCAGAGGTGAGAAAGTTTGTTTCTGACTAGCATGGCAGAAGTTTCCCCGAAGAGATAAGCTTTGAAAGATAGTCAAAACTTCATTTCTCTCTTTAGAAAATGAAAAAGAGAATGAAAAAGCACTGAAGAGAAAAACAATGGTTTCCCAATTCCCTATCCCTGAGAATTAACCATTTCACTTTAAAATCTAGAAGCTGGAGCAGGTGTTTGCCTCCGCGGTTAGGACGCCCCTTGGGATGGCTGCATCCCATACTGGAGTGCCTGGTTCGAGCCACTAACTTACTCTCTGTTTTTTCCCCATTTCTGTTTTCATTTTTTTAAATTCAGTTAAAATGGTTTGTCACACTTTCAATGCATGTTTCATTTTTCTTCTGCTTCATAATTATTTTTGGTGGTGATAAAGGTTTCCCTGGTTCATAATTGTAAAATTTCATCTCCTGGTTTTCTGCCACTCTTCCCCTTGGAATTTATTTTTCTCTTGTGCATTTTTATAGTACTGTGCTGTTTTATATGATTCCGAGGCTAATGGTGCCATTTTCTGTCAGTCTAGCAGAGGACAGGTGTGTCAGTGCTGTCATTCTGTGGCTTGTCTTGGCAGTGGGGTGGAGTTAGGAGATCTCTGATTTTATAGCTCTTTTCCCTCTCTTAGAAGTCTATTCTACCTCCTTTTTCCTTCTTTCCCCCTTCATTCTCTAATTACCAAAGAACACTTCTGTGTTTCCTTTTGTCTTGCTTTTCCCTCTCCCAGATGCTATGGGTTTGGAAGATTGCCTTTTAAACCCACCTGTCCTTTAAAATTGTATTTATCTCCTTAAATCTCACCAGATCCTGTAAGTCATGGGCATTTTGAAATCTCTTCCCTGTACTGTAGTGCTCTTATTTGCTCAGTGACCTTTTAGTGCTTTTGGACTTCGGGTTGTGTATAATGTCTGGTCCTCCCAAATCACCTTCAGGCCTGTCCTTCACTGGCCTCCTCTGTGGTCTTCTCCTCGGGTTTTGTTAGTCAGCCTTTCTTCCCCATACAGCCTTGTGGTGAGGCATAGGTGGGCTGGGTACACAGAGATCATGCCTGGATTTCTTTTTCTTTTTACTCAGTTATTCTGCAGTTTCAAGATTTTCTGTAATGCCAAACGTGTGCTTTGTTTACAATTTTGGCAGTTGTAAAGTAATTTTGTGTTGTTTGGGGAAAAATTTTTGGAAGGTTGGTTACTACAAAGTCAGCAATATCTTTGGCTACTCAGAAGTCTCTCAAGACTATTTACTTTTGAGAAATTTGGAAGCATAAAGATTAAAAACAAAAATAGCCAACAATTTAGAATGGTAGCTTTATGAAGGTCAAAGACCTTATTCTAGGCAAGTTGCTTGCGGACCATAAAAAGCAGACTATGAGTTAAGAATAAGGCTTTTAATGATTACCTTTCCCAGCTATAAAAAAAGATATAGAGTCACAGATTCAGAGGCAAATGCAGTGGGACTACTAAAACTGAGGAGAATATGGATAAGACACAAATAAAAAGTATGAGAAGCCAGAATCTGAACAAGATCACATCAGATTACTCGAAGTTCACTTTAGTTTAATGCAAAGTAATCTCATGAAAACAAGAGGAGCAGAACTGAGATTAGGGGGCTCAGGTAGAAGATAAAGTCTTAGAATCACCATGGTGGGAAAGGAGCCAGGGAGTCAAGTAGCAGAACATGAGACACTGCTAACCAGGACCCAGGGCTCAGCTGAGGTAGGCAGGCATACATATGAAGCATATGGCCACAAATGGCCACTACTCTGTGAGTATTCTGGGTTCTGCATGTGGTACTGGGATGGAAAAGAAAGATGGTATTAATTACTGAGGACTGGTCATTGGCAAGGCAGATATGTCAAGAGGGTGTTAAAGATCCTTAGGGGTATCACTGAAAACGTGTGGCTGCCCATGGCTCCAGGCTAGGTAGAAAGGTAAATCAAATCAAAAGGATTAATGGGCTAAGAAAATAAAAAGAAGCTAAGGAACTAGAAGTCACCATGAGGGTGAAAAGCAGAACCATGAGAATCAGCAGACTGTGTAATGGGAATATATGAATATCTGATCACTTAATTTTCATTTGGATGGTTGGTATACTGTATCCATTCTTCTGTTATTACTCCATGTATGCCCCATTAAAAGCAAGTATGCTCAAACAAATAATTCTTTAAGGTAAAATAAACACCCGTGCCCTTAAGAGCTCTGAGCAGTCTCACATGGAAGGTCCATTTGTAGAGAATGAGAGGGTGGGGAAAGTGCAAGGACGGAGGCTGATTACAGAGCTGAGTTGCAGTAATAATCTCCATTATCCGTAACCACTGAAGTCACCAACTGAGTCAGTACTAAGACTAGAATGGAAATGAACAAATCTAGTTCCCAAGTCTTAATAATTTTAAATAAAAATTTCACACACACACACGTTAACTTTTCTGACTGTAAAAGTAATTCACATTCATTTTTGGAAGTTTATCAAACACAAAAATTTCTGACTACTTTTCTTTGCTACAGGTTACTATACAACCTCAAACAGCTGAGAGCAGGGATTGGCCAAGTTCTTACTATCTGTAAAAGGCCAGACAGTAAAACTTCTTGGCTTTATAAATATGGGCATCTTTGTTGCAACTACTCAATTCTGCCCTAAATACTGAGAGAACTACAGGTTTTTTCTTCCTTAGTTTGTTACTATGGGGAATTACAATGTTATTTTCAAATGTTGAAAGAGAAGACGGATACAGACAAACATGGCTGTACATATGTAAAAGAATGGCTATGGCTACGTGTCAATAAACCTTAATGTACAGAAATAGCTGATGGTTGTCAATCACTAGTTTTAGCCTACTTTAATAGGTTTATAACTTCAGTATTCCTCAAAGGAAATAAGCCAGCACGCTGAAGTATTTGATCATGCTAAAATCACAGGTGAAAAGCTCCTGCTTCAGTCTAGAAACACTGAGCACTCCAATGTCCAAAAGTCAGGTGTGCAACAGAGAAAAAGCCCCCAGCTGCTGGAAGGGAGTCGTGGAAGGCCACTATGTAGCTGATCCAGGTACTGTGGGATTTGCTTTATGACCTTTTTCAAGTGCAAGAATTAACTTTATAGCTTCTTTAGTTCAAACATACGCTTACCTTGGAATACGAAAGTGCTATTTGTTGAAACACAGCATCATCCGGTGATTTACTGTATGTGGCAAGTCCCTGTTCATCATCATCAAAAGGGTAGTTAACCACCAGAGAACCTACAAGGGGAAAAGGAAAATGTATCATGTTATCTATTTCAAGATGGATCAGTAACATAAAGTAAACTTTTCATAATATTGCCAGAGTAGGGAAATCAATAAAATTTGCTAAGGCTAATTTCCTTAACAGAAATGAGAAATATACTTATTTCCTCAACAGAAAATCAAAATGGATAAATGAGAGAATGAATAGCTATCCAGGACACCTAAAGGTTGTCTTAACTAGAAAAATCCTGGGAATTTGCCTGAATTTACAGTTGCAACATACATGTCAGAACTGCAAACAGAAGTATATATGTATAATTTAAATAATTTTACTTTTATGAAAATTTAGGATCAGAAAAATCAAATGAAATTTGACTTTTTCAGTAAAACTGATATATTTTTTTTTTTGACAGGCAGAGTTAGACAGTGAGAGAGAGAGAGAGAGAGAGAGAGACAGAAAGGTCTTCCTTTCCATTGGTTCACCTCCCAAATAGCCGCTACAGCCGGTGCACTGCGCCGATCCGAAGCCAGGAGCCAGGTGCTTCCTCCTGGTCTCCCATGCGGGTGCAGGGCCCAAGCACTTGGGCCATCTCCACTGCCTTCCCGGGCCACAGCAGAGAGCTGGACTGGAAGAGGAGCAACTGGGACAGAATCCGGCGCCCCAACCGGGACTAGAACCCGGGGTGCTGGCGCCGCAGGTGGAGGATTAGCCAAGTGAGCCACAGCGCCAGCCAAAACTGATATTTTTAAGGTCATGTAATTTTAAAACAAGAGACCCTTTAGGTACAAGCAATTCATCCTGTTTATCTTGAAGATACGTAATCTAAAACAGAGAGATTAAATAAATCATGGATTTCAGAACCAGTCTTGACCCACATTCAGAAAAAAAATGCTAAAAATTTCTCATAGTCATATGAGAAATCATTTAATTAAAGTTAAGTCATAAGACTTTTCATGATGTAAGGTAAAGAAAGTGATGCATTAAGACATATGTAGGGGCAACAATTGAGGCATAGTGGGTTATGTCACTGCCTGTAGTGCCAGGGTCCCGTATGGGTGTTGGTTTGAGTCCCAGCTGCTCCATTTCCTATTCAACTCCCTGCTGATGCACTTGGGAAGGCAGGGAAAGATGGCACCCACATGGGAGACCCAGCAAAGACTCTTGGCTTCTGGCTTCTGTCTGGCCCAGCCTCAGCCATCACACCATTTGGGGAGTGAACCAGTGGATGGAAGATCTCTCTCTGTCTGTCTCTGTCTCTCCCTCTCCATCATTTTGCCTTTCAATTGAATAAAATAGAGGGCTGGCACTGTGGCATAGTGGGCTAAGCCTCTGTGGCACTGACATCCCATATTAGTGCCAGTTCTAGTCCCGGCTGTTCCTCTTCCAATTCAGCTTTCTACTATGGTCTGGGAAAGCAGAAGATGGCCCAAGAGTTTATAGACTCCTGTACCTGCGTGGGAGACCTGGAAGAAGCTCCTGGCTTCTGATCGGCCCAGCTCCAGGCATTGCGCTCATTTGGGGAGTGAACCAGCAGATGGAATATCTTTTTCCCCGTCTCTCCCTCTCTCTGTTTGTAACTCTCTCTCTCTCAAATAAATATTTTTAAAAATGAATAAAATAAATCTTTAACAACAACGACAAAAGACATATATAAAAGATATAAAGGGGCCAGCGCTGTGGCACAGCAGGTTAAAACCCTATCCTGAAGCGCCAGCATCCCATATGGGCACTGGTTCAAGTCCTGGCTGCTCCTCTTCCCATCCAGCTCTCTGCTATGGCCTGGGAAAGCAGTAGAAGATGGCCCAAGTCCTTGGGTCCCAGAACCCACATGGGAGACCGGGAAGAAGCTCCTGGCTCCTGGCTTTGGATCAGCCCAGCTCTGGCCATTGTGGCCATTTGGGGAGTGAACCAGCAGATGGTTCACTTTGTCTCTTCCTCTGTAACTGCCTCTCAAGTAAATAAATCTTTTTAAAAAATTTTAAAAATAAAAGAATTTGAGAAAACAAAATGTGTCATGGAGAGAAGCATGTCTCATGATTGAAGATGCCTACTTCTCACCATGCCAAGTCTTGATATGACATCTTGCAAAGTTGTGATTTATTTTCCTTGGACTGTAGCTATTATTAAGTTTTCAGATTCAGCCAACATAACATCTGACCCATTCCAAGACTATTTTTTGTAAAAATTTATTCTATTTTGTTGAAAGACAGAGTTACAGAGAATGAAAGGGAGAGACAGAGGTCTTCCATCTGCTGGTTCACTACCCAAATGGCCATATTGGCTAGGATTATGCTAGGCCAAAATCAGGAGCCAGGAGCTTACTCCAGGTCTGGCACTACAGATGGAAGCTTAACCTGATATGCCATAATGTTGGCTCCAAGAACATCTTTTTTAAAGATTTATTTAATTATTTGAAAGGCAGAGTTACAGAGAGGCAGAGACAGAGAGAGGTCTTCCACCTGCTGGGCTGATCTGAAGCCAGGAGCCAGGAACTTCTTCCAAGTCTCACACGTGGGTACAGAGGCCCAAAGACTTGGGCCTTCTTCTACTGTCTTCCCAGGCTGTAGCAGAGAGCTGGATCAGAAGAGGAGCAACCAGGACTTGAACCAGCACACATTTACATGCCAGCACTGCAGGTGGCAGCTCTACCCACTATGCCACAGCACTGGTCCTCCAAGAATATTTTTAAAAGCTTAAAATGAAAAATATTTTTATCAAACATAAAATATTTTAAAAAGGAAAGAAAAAATCATTTTCTAACCAGGGTACAACGTCTTAATTACTGTATGGCTCTTTGAGAACATTCCTTGATTACCAACTATAGCAGTATTTTTCTACTACTAGAAAGCATTCAAAGCAATTTTTGAAGAAGTTCAATTTACTTTCTCAATCTAAATACCCATAAGTGTATACTGTCCTTCTAAAATTGCAGGCTGCTTAGTATCTATGCAATCAAATCTCAACAGAGATACTTCTTTGGGCCACTCTAATAAATGTTGACATTACATTTTTTAACCATTTTTTGTCCACTGTTAATATTCTCACTCATTTTTTAAAAAACAGCTTTATGGTCACATAGTTCATATATTAGATAATTCACTCACTTAAAGTGGCCCTGCCCTGGCCATTGCAGCCATTTGGGGAGTGAACCAGCAGATGGAAGATCTTTCTCTCCCCACCTCCCTACCTATCTCCTTCTCTCTGTCACTTCGCCTTTCAAACAAATTAACAAATCTTTTTTAAAAACTTATGTATAGGGGCGGGTGCTGTGGTGTAGTGGGTAGAGTCGCTGCCTGCAGTGCCAGCATCCCATATGGGCACCAGTTCGAGTCCCAGCTGCTCCATTTCTGATCCAGCTCTCTGCTATGGCCTGGGAAAGCAGTGGAAGATGGCCCAAGTCCTTGGGCCTCTGCCTCCGCATCGGAGACCTGGAAGAAGCTCCTGGCTCCTGGGTTCGTATCGGCGCAGCTCCAGCGGTTGTGGCCAATTGGGGAGTGAACTAGAGGATGGAAGACCTCTCTCTCTTTGCCTCTCCATCTCTCTCTGTATAACTCTGACTTTCAAGTAAATAAATAAATCTTTTTAAAAAAATCACGTGTGGACATGTTTTTATTTTGAGTAACACCTTCACTCTTACTCACTTTGACTTCTCATTCTTTTCAACTGATCCATTACTGCTTAATAACATGGAAGTACGTAAGTTCAGATACTACACGACAATGAGGTCACTGTGCTGCAGTTACAACTACACCAAGCAGGAACAAACTCTGCCATGCAATGGGTTAAGCTGCCACTTGAGACACCCACATCCCATATTACAGGGCTGGTTTGAGTCCTGGCCACCCCTTTCCATCCATCTCTGCTAATTCACCTCGGAAGCAGTGATTATAGCTCAAGTACTTGGGTTCCTGTCACCCACATGGAAGACTGTGATGGAATTCTGGGTTCCAGGCTTCAGGCAGGCTCAGCTCTGGTTGTCGCCAGTATTTGGGGGAGTTAACCAGCAGATGGAAGATCTCTCTTTCTTTTTTGGGAAGTGATCTAATGGGTGGAAGATCTGTCTCTCTGTTACTCTGCCTTTGAAATAAACAAATACTCTTTTTAAAAAAAGAATATACCAACTAAAAGATAAGAGAATGTTCCTAAATATAAACTTACATAAAGTTTATTAAACTTTAGGAAGAAGTATGAAGAAAGCATAAGAGAGTTGGAAAACACCCAGGAAACTGTCATAGCAATGAGAAAAGATGTTTATTGTTGTTTGCCATAAAAAAAAGGGTACTCATTTTAAGAAAGCCTAAGACTAAAGGCTGGCATTTGGCATTTAAAATACCTGTATCCCAAATGGGAATGCCTGGTTTTAAGTCCCAGTACCACTCCCAGTTCCAGCTTCCTGCTTAGCAATGCAGACCCTGGTAGGCAGCAGTGATGGCTTCAGCAATTGGGTTCCTGCCACCCATGTGGGAGACCCAGATTGAGTTGCTAGCTCCTAGAATCAGCCCCGCCTAGCTGCTGCCATTGCAAACATTTGGAGAGTGAACCAGCAGTTAGAAGCTCTCTTTTAGGGCTGGCGCTCTGGCACAGTGGGCTAAGTAGCTGCCTAGAGTGTCAGCATTCCATATGGGTGCCAGTTCAAGTCCCGGCTGCCCCACTTTTGACCCAGCTAATGTGCCTGGGAAAGCAGTAGAATGGTGGTTCAAGTCTTGGGGCCCCTGCACCCACATGGGAGACCTAGAAGAAGCTCTTTGCTCCTGGATTCAGCCTGGCCCATCCCTGGGCACTGTGGCCATTTGAGGAATAAACCAGCAGATGGAAGACCTTCCTCTCTCTCTTCCTCTCTCTCTCTCTCTCTCTCTGTCTCTCTCCCTCCCTGTAACTGTCTTTAAAATAAATAAATAAATAAATCTTAAAAAAAAATCTTTCTTTCTCCCTCTGCCTCTCACATGAATGAATGGATGAATAAATGAATATTCTTTAAAAAGAAAGACTATAAACAAATAAAATTCCACAGGATTTTCAGATGCTTTCAGTAAGAATTAATAAATGGAATATAAAGATGCTGTACCTCCATGTAGGTTTGCTGACAGTACAAATGGATAGGCCTTCATCCAGCTCATTACAGCAATGGTTTCTGGTTGGGCAGGATCTGTGATCTGAACAAACTGGTCTGGAAAATTTCGGTTCAGGTCAAAATTGTTGCTGTTATTTCTTCCAATTACACTTACTGAATCTCCTGTAAGAAAAAGGTTCAAATTTAAGTTGTTTCACTTATATTTTAACCTAACACATACTACTACTTTGGCAATCTTACCTGTAACTTTGGCATAACAGGCTTTATTATTATTACTCACATCGAGATTTTAAAGTTGCTTTTCACATTGAGTATTACTTTTAAACAAAGAGGTAAAGCCATTATCCCTTCATTTTTGCCCTTTGGTCACACTTTGAGAGGAAAAAACTCAGTTATACAAATGATAATAAAACACCACTCAGGGGACTGGGGTTGTGTTGTAGGTTAAGCCACAGCTTGCAATGCCAGAACTCCATATCAGAGTGCCAGCTTGAGTTCTAGCTGCTTCACTGCCAAACCAGCTTCCTGCTAATGTGCCTGGGAAGCTAAAAAAGATGGGCCACCCATGTGAAAGACCCGGATGGAATTCCTGGATCCTGGCTTTAGCTTGGCCCAGCCCAGACTGTTGTGGCCACTTGTGGAAAGAACCAGTGGAAAGAATCTCACTCTGTCTCTCTCCCCCTCTCTCTGTAACTTTTTTTTTTTTTTTGGACAGGCAGAGTGGACAGTGAGAGAGAGAGACAGAGAGAAAGGTCTTCCTTTGCCGTTGGTTCACCCTCCAATGGCCGCCGTGGCCTGCGCAACGTGCTGATCTGATGGCAGGAGCCAGGTACTTATCCTGGTCTCCCATGGGGTGCAGGGCCCAAGCACTTGGGCCATCCTCCACTGCACTCCCTGGCCACAGCAGAGAGCTGGCCTGGAAGAGGGGCAACCGGGACAGAATCCGGCGCCCCAACTGGGACTAGAACCCGGTGTGCAGGCGCCGCAAGGTGGAGGATTAGCCTAGTGAGCCGCGGTGCCGGCCTGTAACTCTTTCAAATAAATAAATAAATAAGTCTTTAAAAATCAAAATAAAACAAAACTTTGCTCAGGGGTGGGCTTTATGGCAGAGCATGTTAAGCCACTGCTTGATACACCCACATCCCTTATTAGAGAGCTGATTTGAGTCCCAACTCTTTTATTTCCCATCTAATTTCCTGCTAATGCATTCTACAAGCAGCAGATGATGGCCCAAGTGCTTGGTTCCCTGCCACCCACGTGGGAGACCTGCATGGCATTTTGAGCTCCTGGCTTCAACCTAGCCCTGCCCTGGCTGATATCTAGGGAGTGATTCAATAGTGGAAGAGCCATAACCAAAATAGAAGGAGCTATTAAATATAAAGTTGGTCATATAATTATTGAATGGACTGGCCTATCTTACAAAAATACATGAGCTAAAACCAATTATAAACGATAAGAATAAAGTAGGCAGAGATTCCAGAAAAACAACCTGTTCAAATTCTCTCCTATCCCAGAGCAATCATGCCATAAGATTTAAGCAGGAAAAGACAGCTATTCTTTACCTTCCTGGGACTTTTCATATCCATCAGGATTCATGGATGGCATAATATGAATTCTAGTGCTGCGAACCAGATCTGTGACTTCAGAATCTAGTCCAAAGTTCTTACAAAGGTACTCAATGAGGTTCAATAGCAGTTCTCTTCCTACCACTTCATTTCCATGCATATTTCCAATATATTTAAATTCTGGTTCACCTGCAAACAAAATAATTACACAGAAGATTTTTTTTTCCTTTTCAGTTGCCATGGACTCTCTGTTTTTTCCCCAAGATACAGAAAAACCCTGAACCAAAAGACCAAGAAAACATGTATTTTTGGCAAAGGAAGCAAAGAAAAACCTTCATAAACATCTTATAAAGCAGCTCCCTTACTAATACTCATCTATCTGCTTGAGTGGGCTCAAGTAGGCTTTCATGAGAAAGCTTTGAAAAGTCCATGGAAAATGCACATTATCTTTCAATTCTATTTTTCCCAGGAAATTTTGAAGCTCCAGCATATTTGCTATATAATATGAAAAATAAAAGTACTATTAGTAGAAGGAATCTAATCTACCATACCTAATATAGACTGCCAAATAGTCTTTTCTTTTTTGGGAAAAGGCTGGTTACATTTCCTTTTTTCTTTCTTTTTTTAAATGTCTTCTTAATTCTAGTTATATATATTATAAGTAACTTTTTTGGATGAAGCACATCAAAATAGTACAGAGTGAAAAACCACACCAATTACCTGGTTCATGGACACCTGGGTTATCTGATATCTCCATCACATAAAGTTCTCTTGACTCTACTGATTTTCCCAATGAATAAAGCCTGGTGATATTAGGATACTCATTGGCAAACCTTCTCAAGAAGATTTCCATATCAGGGAAATGATGATGTCGAAAGTCCTTTGGCTGAATTGGCTGGTGGGAGGATGATGTACCAGGAGGAATATTAGGTACAGCAACTGTGCTAGCAGTTACTACAGATTCAGTTGTGTCATCATTTACCAAAGCCACAGTTGGCCGAAGGGAAAAATCCACTTCTGTGGCTGGTCCTTCTTTCACCACTATGTTATTAACAGTCAATGGCATATACCTGAAAAAAATATTTGAAAAAGTAGATAGCATGGTGTTAAGAAACACAATCCTTGGGGCTGGCATTGTGGCATAGTGGGTAAAGCCGTTGCGTGCAGTGCCAGCATCCCATATGGGCGCCGGTTCGAGTTCCAGCTGCTCCACTTCTGATCCAGCTCTCTGCTATGGCTTGGGAAAGCAGTCGAAAAGGCCCAAGTCCTTGTGCCCCTGCACCTGCAGGGAGACCCGGAAGAAGCTCTTGGCTCCTGGCTTTGGATCATCACACTCTGGCCATTGAGGCCAATTGGGGAGTGAACCAGAGGATGGAAGACCTCTCTCTCTCTCTCTGCCTCTCCTTCTCTCTCTGTGTAACTCTGACTTTCAAATAAATAAATAAATCTTAAAAAAAAAAAAAAAGAAAGAAACACAATGCTTTACATTACAAAAGTATGGTAGCCTCTTCATACTCTTTAACTTAGTGGTTTATGAATATGCAAATTAAATATAGAAGTGTAAATTTAAGAGTTTTAGGATACATCACAGAGGATTTTAGATTAAGTCTAAAGAATTCCTCTCTTCTCAGGCACCACACTCTAGAAGCCTTACAAAATATTACATTCAAAGGAAAGAATACACTCCAAAGCTGAGGTTGTTACTTCATTATACCCAATACTACAATACTCAAAAAAGAAATAAATTATTCAACTTTTTGCACTGCTTTATCAAACTGTCATCCAACTTCTTTCCCAAGCAGAAATGTTCAAAATTACATAAAAAGTTACCAATTAAACCCTTATCAAAGTGAGCTTCCAAAGGATTTCCAGAGGAGGTGGGAAATCACTCATTTAATATACCAGAAAGCTGATAACAAGACAGTTCTTCAAAATGTCATTTACAGAGTCCTGGGTTTCTTACACTCCAGTATTCAATTAGCCATCATGCAATGCTTTATACAGCTGGGCATCTTTCAAGCTTCACCTTTGGTTGTGCTGTTAGACTATGTGACAAAAAACTGCACAATAGTATTTTCTCATTACAAAAGGCAAAAAATAACAAGAAAAATAAAAGCTAAATGAAGTGAATAATATTCACTAGACTACACTTCTGTCTTAGATATACAACAGAGGCTTGACAATTTAATTAAAAGTCTAAATTCTTACCCAGTTAAAACTACTGTAAGGTTATAAGTTCCAGGAACAAGTAATCTATGGAAATCACCAAATCTGCCTGTCGTGATATTATGATTAATACCAGTCACTGAGATGGTTGCATTTTCCAAACCAGATCCTGTTACTGAATCTTTAACAAATCCTTTAATTCCAATGTGAACCTTAAAAAATAAAATAAAATAAAACAAGAATCAAAGCTCAGAGACAATCAATTTGGAAGGTAAAACAGCATAATTTTACTCTGCATTGATGATGGAAATTCTAAAGTATAAGCTTACCCCTCTATATCATCTCCCTAAAACATCTGTCAGTCCCTTGAAGTTGAATTAAAATATAGATAAAAATATTAAATCCTTAAACTTAAGTCCTGTGTGTCTGAACCCAATACCAGAGAGCTGCTTTTGAAATTCCCTGTGCTCCAGGTGGTGGTGTGGCACAGTAGGTTAAGCTACCACCTGTGATGCCAGCATCCCACAAGGCTTCCCAGTGTGAGTCCCAGATGATCTGCTTCCAATCCAGTTCCTGGCTAATGCATCTGGGAAAGCAGTGGAATATGGTCAAAAGATTTGGACTGCTACCACCCATTTGGGTGACCCAGATGGGGTTCTTGGCTCCTGCCTTCAGTCTGGCCCAGATTTGGCTGTTGTGGCCATTTGAGGAGTAAAACAGTGGATGGAAGATCAATCGATTGTTACCTCTGTGTGTGTGTGTGTCTCTCTCTCTCTCTCTGTAACTGCCTTTCCAATAAAAAAATAAGCCTTAAAAAAAATTTCCTGTCCTTAAAACCAGACTACTAGTTTTCTCAACAAGATATAATTTCTGGTACGTCCAATAGTTGTAATAGCCTGTTTGATGTTTAAACTGTTGTCCATGGTTCACATAAAAGCACTTAGCAAAAAATGACCACATGACATTATAAGAATCTGGTAGTACAATTTAGCTACTTATTTCAGTTTGAAAGTGTTCAAGACAGGCAAAGGGAGCCCTCTGGAGCAGAGAGCTAGGGGTGCAGGGCAGAGCAAGAATATGTTTCAGTAGATTAACCTACAATCTTTATTTTAAAAGAGATACATAAAAGATATCTAATATAAACTGTCATTCAAATGCACCTGGATTTCCCCCTCTTTTGATCCATTATTTCCATACCCCACACTTCCAGCCAGTTACTTTACCTTTTCAATCAATGTGATCAAAGACTCCCGATTATTCTCCCATTCTTGTCGAAGCTGTGAAGCAGGTGGGTACTTGCAACAAGATAGTTCTAATGTGATCTCAAAACAGTTGGCCCATACATAATTGTAGTCTTGCATGCCACCTGTAACATGAAGGGAAAAATAAGTTCACTTGAAGAATTCTACCCTCTGAAAGACTGAAGAGACTAAATCAGCCATTCCTGCATGTATAAATTTTTTTTTCATTAAGTTGTCTGAAATTGCAGAAGACTCTTGAATTATAGAGGAGACTTATAAGGAATATACATAAAGGAAATACAAATCAGTTAATAATAGTTAATAATAACACTTGAGTACTATATGCCACACTTGTTTTAAGAGCTTTATGTATATTAATATTTAATCTTTTAAAAAATATTTTATTTATTTGACAGGTAGAGTTACAGACAGTGAGAGACAGAGAGAAAGGTCTTCCTTCCATTGGTTCACTCCCCAAATGGCCGCAACGGCCAGAGCTGCGCTAATCTGAAGCCAGGAGCCAGGTGCTTCTTCCTGGTCTCCCATGTGGGTGCAGGGGCCTAAGCACTTGGGCCACCTTCTACTGCTTTTCCAGGCCACAGCAGAGAGCTGGACTGAAAGAGGAGCAACCAGGACTAGAACTGGCACCCATATGGGATGCTGGCACTGTAGATGGAGGATTAACCTAGTGTGCCACAGCGCCGACCCCTATATTTAATCTTTACAACAAATATATAAGGTGGGTATTACTATTTTGCTCATTTTGTCAATGTGAGAATTGAGGCACAAAGCAGTTCAAATGTATAACAATGAAAATGAAGGGTATAGGCCAGCGTTGCGGCTCAATAGGCTAATCCTCCACCTGCGGCGCCAGCACACAGGGTTCTAGTCCCGGTCGGGGCGCTGGATTCTGTCCCGGTCACTCCTCTTCCTGTCCAGCTCTCTGCTGTGGCCTGGGAGTGCAGTGGAGGATGGCCTAAGTGCTTGGGCCCTGCACCTGCATGGGAGACCAGGAGAAGCACCTGGTTCCTGGCTTTGGATCAGCGTGGTGCACCAGCCACAGCAGCCATTGGTGGGTGAACCAACGGCAAAGGAAGACCTTTCTCTCTGTCTCTCTCTCACTGTCCACTCTGCCTGTCAAAAAAAAAAAAAAAAAGAAGAGTATATATGATCTCAAATTTGTGAAGCACATTCATGCCAAGGCACTATTATAGACCTACTATTCCAACTGTACTATTCCAACTGTACTATTCCAACTACTTATTAAGAAGGTGCAAGAAAAGAGAGACTGTATTTAGGGTGGCACAGCTATACAAATCAGGGAAAAATAAAAGACAAAACAAATTCTTTAAAAATGTGTTTAATGCAACACAGAATTAATACGCATTCCTGGTCAACTACCTTCACCATTTTTACACCTATAAAAGCCAACACACTCATTCTGTAGAAAATCTATTATACTATTATTCCTGTAATTTGCTTTCTCACATCTTGTTTACACTGGATAAAGACTAAAACATAGAGCATAGATGGAACATAACTTCTCCATGATCCCACCTTGCTTCTGAAATATAAGTAGGCAAATATTTATAATGTTAGACAGTGACCAAAGCCCACTTTCTACATGTGAAATGAGCCCTGACCTTAGCCACTTCCTTCCGTTACCCCTGAAATGCCTCAAAAGACAAGGTTTAGATGAATTCATGTCCACTATTCACCAAACCAATCTTCTCCAAAAGGATATTTCCCCCTCTGACAAGGCAAACTACAAATGTGGATTTTAAGAGTCTTATTCTCTAGCCCCCATGCATCCCAGATGAAGTTATACAGGATCCTTCAGCTGAGAAAGGAGGAGAATAATTTCCCTTTCACAGACAGCACCAACAGGCACAGGATGCTTGAGTCATAGATTCTTCTGCCATTTACTAGCTGAGAGCCTTTTGGCATTAACATAAGTCTTTATTTATTTATCTGCAAAGTGAGCATTAGATGATAACAAAGGACCAGGCTAACTCCTGGATTCTGTATTTAAAAATACATGATGATTTGATTTTAAAATGCAGGAAAGAACACCTGGAAAAAAGATAATTCTAAGCTTACTTCCAGAGAAAATGAATGGCAATTTAAAGTACAATTTTTTTAGTTGTTCGTTAAAGAACTAGGCTTAGAAAATATTGAAAAAAGCCAACAATATAGCAAAATTAGCAAAGCTGTGACAGAAAGAAAATAGCAATGTGATTCTGTTGGGTTTTCATTATGTGTTTTGAGGTATATCCAGTTCTTAAAATATGCCTATCTCATCTAACACAATTTGCTTTTGCTTCATCAGAATAGTCATAAAATAAATATTTCTAAAGCATTAAGAATCTGAGCAAAGAAACTTCAAAAAAGAAATTCAGGGCTCTGGATTGTTGTTCTGGAAAACAAACAAACAAAGAAGGCAGCTGAACATAATCCCAAAATTATCCAAGCAGGATCACACCAATTCTGGTGACACACCATGTAATCTCAGGATATGTAAAGGAGATCATCACACTTTGTCCAGGTTCATCCATGTTAATTCAAGCACTTATAAATAAAGCCAAGATTTTGTTTACAATCTAGAGAAGAATTCTGCATTTATAATTAATGTAATACAGTAAGACGCGACAGTGGTGATGGTTGTACAACAATGTAAACATACTTAATGCCACTTAAAATGATTAAAATGATAAATTTGATGTGATGTATATTTTACCACAATAAAAATAGTAATGGTGATACAGTAAGCCTATGACACCAGTCCTAATTGTTAAGATGTTTATTTCTGTACCTTAAAGGCAGAGTGGAGGAGAGTGTGCATAATTAGAGGAAACGGCTTTGTGAAGGTGCAGGCTAAGAGTGCTATGAGGCGGCTAAGGCCACGAGATCAGGGCAGAACTGCAGTGCTGATGAGAGGTAGTGAAAGGTCAGGCTGGAAATGTAAGCAGGATCTAAGAAAGGCTGCGGATAAAGGCCTCCTTGGCTTTCCAAAACACAGCAAACATGACAGTCTTCTGTTGGCTTGAATAGAAAAGTGGCATGATGGATAGAAGGTGGTATGGTCTGTACAGGAGACAGATTGGAAGCAAAAAGCTCACTTAGGCAGTTTTTACAGTAGTCTAAGGGAAAGTAATTAGGCCCCAAATAAGCTGGTGCCAACTGTGTGGAAGGGAAAGGAAACAATGCAAGATAAAATACTGATGGGATCTGATAAATGACAGGAGTTGAGGAAAACAAAAGAATCAAAAAGGGCCTGTGGCCTGATTAACTGGGCTAATGATGATGCCATTAACGGTGAGAAGCAGCAAGATTTGTAAAAGTAACAGCAAAGGAGGGCATGACAAGTTTTGCCTGGAGTATCTTGGGTTTGAAGTATTTACAGAACATTTAGATAGACATACCCAGAAGGAATTCTTAAGTGCAAGTTTGGGGTTTGTGGTAAAGGGTAGTGCTTCTCAAGAAATTATCATTTAAGACTAGGGAGTTCAATTTTCATTTAACAAACATTAATTGGGCACTTACTGTATGCCAGGCACTGTTCTATTGGTGACAGTGACAAAATAGAGAAGGTCCCTGATCTTTCAAAACTTAAATTCTTATAGGGAGAGGCAGACTATAAATATAAACAAACAAACAAACAAAAATCAGTAAGAAGTGCTATGCAGAGAAGTTTAATGGAGTAACATGATCACTAGTAACTGGTGGCAAGTAGAGATTAGTCAGGAAAAGTCTTTTTGAGAAAGCTTACCAATTTTGGAAAATTTTTTATTTCTTTTCATTTTATTTCAAAGGCAGGGACAAACAGATCTAGAGAGATATTCCATCTACTGGTTCATTCCCCAAATGCCCACAAAAGCTGGGTGTGGGACAGGCTGAACCCAAGAGCCTGAAAATCAATCTAGGTCTCCCACATGGATGATAAGAGGTCAACTACCTGAACCATCACCTAATGCTTCCCACAATGTGCATAAACAGGAAGCTGGAATTGAAAGATATGCTGGGACTTTGAACTCAGGCATTCTGATACGGAATGTGGGTGTCCCAAGAGTTGTCTTAAACACTGAACCAAATACCAGCCATCCCTCTTCATCCCAGAAAGAGGGTTTGTAAAGAGTTAATATTCAACCAAGATCTGAAAAACAAGATGGAGTCAGCCTGTTAAAAGTCAGAAGAGCACTCCAAGTAGAGGAGAAAAGCTTAGTGAGTCTGAATGGAAAGGCTACCATGGCTGGACAACAATGGACAAGAGTAAAAGGTGCAAAATGAAGTCAAGAGACAGAGGCAAAACAAGACTATACAGGGCTTTGGCAGTTAGGGGAAGGAGTCTGAGATTTTATTCCAAGCATAATAAGAACTAATGGAAGGTTGTGTGTTTGTGTGTGTGTTTTAAGATTTATTTACTTATTAGAAAGAGTTACAGACAGAGGGAGGGAAAGAGGAAGGGAGAGAGATCTTTAATCCACTGGTTCACCCCCCAAATGGCCACAATGGCTGAAGCTGGGCTGATTCAAAGCCAGGACCCAGGAGCTTCTCTGGGTCTCCCACATGGGCACAGAGTCCCAAGTACTTGGACCATCTTCCACTGCTTTCTCAGACACATTTGCAGGGAGCTGGAATGCAAGTGGAGCAGCTGGGATTCAAACTGTAACCTTACCTGTTAGGCCTCAGGGCTGGCCCCAGGTTTTGCTTTAACATGTTTAAGAACACATAAACTCTACCATCTTGGAGCCAGTATTGTGGAGTAGGTGGGTTAAGCCACTGTCTGCAATGCTACCATTCCATATTGGGGGTCATTTAGGTCATGTCTGCTCCACTTCTAATCCAGCTCCTTGCTAATGTGTCTGAGAAAGCAGAGGAAGGCAGCTCAAGTAGTTGGGCTCTTGTACCCACATGTGAGACCCCCACGAAGCTCCTGGATTCGACCTGGCCTGGCCTTGGCCAATGTGGCCATTTTGGGAATGAACCAAGAAATGAAAGCTCTCTCTTTCAAATAAATAAATAAATTTTAATCTTTAAGAGAAATTTACCATCTTAATCACTTTAAGCATACAGTAGTGTTAACTATATTCATATTGTTATTGTGTAACAGATTTTTAGAACTTTT